AGGCCAAATCTGAATCTGATTGGGCTGATGAGCTCCACTGCTCCAACCTGCTAACTAACTGAGACCCTGCCTCACCCAACTTGCGAACTGCTGAAGCCTTTATCAGAGGCCGAACCTTAAAGGAGCCAGCAGGTGGAAGCAGGCCTCGGACTGACCTGACCCAGAACTGGTGACAGCAATCCTTGGTTTGCAGCGTGGCCTCTGCCATGCGCCTCCATGTACAGCACAGGCTGTGATCAACTGTGGATCAATTTGTAGCTCCTACTAGGTAGTCCCTGGCCAGTTACAGGCAGTGGCTGACTTGGGCCTGCACTGGAGCCCCTCCCAAGAGGCCCCCAGAACCAACATACCTGGAGGTTGGCTTCAGAAACCAAAAGCATCACACACAAAGGGCAGTCTCAACAGGCACCAGAGCCTACTAGGGTAAATCCCACTCTGTGGGATAAGTCTCCTGCACAGCAGCCCATAAATTGTGGATGTGGCCAAATATCACAGCCAGTCAGCTGGAAGATCAACACTACCTACTGACATACCAACAGCAATCAGTGCTCAACATATAAAAGGGCACACAACCCACACAAGGGACACTCTTGGAGCACCATGATGAGATGACCAGGAAGAATGTGCCACTGGGCCTCACAGGACTCCTACCACATAAGGCCACCTGGCAAGACTGAGAGACACAGCAGCCCTATCTAATACATAGAAACAGAGAGGCAGCCAAAATGAGGAAATAAATAAATAAGTCCCAAATGAAAGAACAGGCGAAAACTCCAGAAAAAGAACTAAACAAAATGAAGGCAAGCATTCTACCAGAGGCAAGGGCAGTTCAAAACAATGGTTATAAAGATGCTCAAGGAACTTAGAGAGATCTTCAACAAAGAGATAGCAAGCATTAAAAAAGGACACAGACACCATAAAAAAGAACCAGTCAGAAGTAAAGAATGCAATAACTGAAATGAAGAATGCACTAGAAGGAAATCATCAGGAGACTCGATGAAGCAGAGGACTGCATGAGTTATTTGGAAGACAAGGTAGCTGAAAACACCCAATTGGAACAGCAAAAAGAAAAAAGAATCCAAAAAAATGAGGTTAGTTTAATACACCTGTGGGACAACATCAAGTGTAACAACATTTGCCTCATAGGGGTACCAGAAGGAGAAGAGAGAAACCAAGGGACTGAGAAAGTATTTGAAGAAATAGATTGGTGAAGGAAATAGACATACAAGCCCAATAAGTGCAGAGTCCCAAAAAAGATGAACCCAAACAGGCCTACACCGAGACACACTATAATTAAAATGCCAAAGGTTGGGCGGCTGGTTATCTCAGTTGGATAGAGCACAGTGCTCGTAACACCAAGGTTGCTGGTTCGATTCCCACATGGGCCAGTGAGCTGCGCCCTCCACAACTAGATTGAAAACAACAACTTGATTTGGATCTGATGGGTCCTGGAAAAACACGTTTCCCAATCAAGTTTAAAAAACAAAAAACAAACAAAAAAACCATTTTAAAATGGCAAAGGTTAAAGACGAAGAGAAAATCCTAAAAGCAGCAAGATAAAAGCAGTCAGTTGCCTACAAGAGAGCTCCCATAAGACTGTCAGCTGATTTCTCAACAGCAACTTTGCAGGCCAGAAGGTACTGGCATGAAATATTCCAAGTGATAAAAAACAAGGACCTACAACCAAGGGTACTCTACCCAGCAAGGATATCATTTAAAATTGAAGAACAGATAAAGGGCTTCTCAGACATGAAAAAGCTAAAGGAATTCATCACCACCAAACCAGTATTACAAAATGTTAGAGGGACTTCTTTATGATAGAAAAAAAATAATTAACATGAATAATAAAATGGCAATAGCTACATATCTATCAACAATTGCTTTCAATGGAAATGGATTAAATGCTCCAATTAAAAACAGGGTGGCTGAATGAATAAGAAAACAAAACCCCTACATATACTGCCTATAAGAGACTCACTTCAGATTAAAAGACACAGACAGGCTGAAAGTAAAGGGATGGAAAAAGTTATTTAATGAAAATGGAAATGAACAAACAGAAAAGGCTGGGGTAGCAATCCTTAGCCCAGACAAAATAGAATTTAAAACGAAGGGTATAACAAGAGACAAAGAACGACTCAGTAATTTCTCCAAAGAAACCCAAAACACTACTTCAAGGGTACATCTGCATCCATGTGTTCATTACAGCGTTGTTTACAATGGCCAAGATGTGGAGGCAGCCTGGGTGTCCGTCGATGGAAGAATAGATAAAGAGTAGGTGGTACATATTGGGTTGTCAGAAAAGTCATGACGTATTTTTTCCTGTTTTTCATTGCAAAAATGTGTCATGACTTTCCCGACAACCCAATATGTACAAAGGAATATGGCTGGGCCGTGGAAGGGAATGGGTTTTCACCATCTGTGGCAGCATACATAGACCTGGAGGGTATTGTGCTGAGTGGAGTATGTCCGACAGAGAAAGACAGATGCAATGTGATTTTGCTTCTATGTGGAATCTAAAGAACAAAATAAACAAACAAAACAGAAACTGACTCATAGATAGAGAACATTTTAATGGTTGCCAGATAGGAGGGGTGTTGGGGTGGTAGGTGGAAAAGGGAAAGGGATTAAGGAGTACAAATTGGCTGTTACAAAGTATTCATGGGAATGTGAGGTATAGTATAAGAATTATAGTCAATAACATTGTAATAACTACATATGGCGTCTGATGGGTACTAGATTTATCAGGGTGATAGATTGGAGGAGGGTTGGGGACAGGGTGAAAAAGGTGAAGGCATTAAGAAGTACAAATTGGTAGTTACAGAGTAGTCATAGGAATGTAAATAAAGCATAGGGAGTATAGTCAATAATATGGTAATAACTAGGTATAGTGCCAGGTGGGTACTAGACTAGACAGGGGGATCACTTCTTAAATTATATAAATGTCTAACCACTATGCTGTACACCTGAAATTAATGTAAAATAATACTGAATGTCAACTCTAATTGTAAAATTAAAAAGGAGGGGGAAAAGGAAGGAGAATAAGAGGTCCAAATTCCCAGGTATAAAACAAACAAGTCATGGGGATGTAATGCACAGCATAGGGAATATAGCCAATAATATTATGATAGCATGGTACGGTGTCAGATGGTTGCTGGACTTATCATAGCGATCACTTCCTTAAGTACATAAATGTTGAATAACTATGGTGTACCCCAGAAACTAATATAATATTGTATGCTAACTATATTTTTAATAAAAAGTCTTTTAAAAAAATGACTTGTATTGACAATTGCTTGAGACTTGATTCATTAAGCACTCTAGAGTCTACTGTCCCCATGGGAAGCAGATTCCTATGGTCTGGTGCCTACTAATAATAAGCATTTTTCTTCAAGAAAGTGTGAAATTGGACTGATTTTTTACTAAACCCAAAACAAAATCATTGCTCTAATTCCTGTTCAAGTGGAGCATTTTTTATACTCCCTTACACTTGCAAAAATATTCTCTGAAATTTTCTGTCTTCTTAACAGATACTATAGTACTCTCTATATTTTATATTGTGAGATTCATACATAATCTTGGAAATGTCAAGAATGACATTTACTCCTCAGCCAACATAGAAATAAAAACTTGAATACACATTTTAATTTTCAAGTTCTGTAGAGACATATTAACTTATTAACTAGTTCACTGATGGTACTTCCTCACAAGAACTCAAAATAAATTTAAAGACAAAATAAATAGTTGATTCTGTGATGGGATGCTCATTAAGACATCTGAAACAATCTGTTTTTTAAAAATGGAATATTCAATCAAACCAATTTTTAGGATTTTGTCTCCCATCTGTACTAAGGACACAGTTCTAGAACCCAGTTCTAAAAGTTGTGGAAGAAATCATTAAGTCTGGCAAACCCAACTAACAGCCCTTTGCAAGGAATGGTTCAGCAAACAGTTGAAGGTATCTAGATGCTTTCCAGATTTCCTTGGGCTCCATTACAGGGAAGCAGATTTTTTCAGGGTGTGAAAATATCTACTCTTAATCATGGCTATTTAACACTTGAAACTTCATTTATTGCTATCCTACAGATTTGGATGAAGAAACTTTTTTTATTATTATTGGGAAACAGCCATGGTCATTGGTTACACATTGCTTTCATGCTGCAATGGCATAGTTGACTCTTTTAGGGAGGGCGGAGCTCACAGTGGCCCATGCAGAGATTGAACCGGCAACCTTAGTGATATCAACACCACGCTCTAACCAACTGAGTTAACCGGTCAGCTCTGGATGAAGAAACTTTTTGAGCAGAACGTTTTACCCTAGTTCTGGTCACAGCTGTCTATGTCTGTCTGTGTCTCTGTCTGAGAGAATCATGAAGCAAGGCTGAAGGAAAACATTTAACTCAAAATACTTATGGTGCCTTTAGGGTATCACTAATAAATGAGAGGAAAGCAGTTTCTAATGTATAATTGATACTATACTAAGCTAAAAAAATGTGAATAAATTTAAGGTTGGATATTTTTAATGTAGAATTAATGTAAGTACATTTACATTGTAAGTACATTTACAATGTAATTAAAATTTGAAGACTTAACGGGAAATTACTCCTATGTTTTATAGTAACACATTTATAGCCCAATAAAATGAATACAGTGCAGTTACATATACAAATATGTATTCAAATATAGCATCCGTTGTACAGTGATTAAAACATTAAAAGACTATAACTGTATGTTTGCATCCATCAAATTCAGCATTGTCTTAAATGATTGAAATCCCTAGTTTAATACCATGAAATTAAAACATTTTGTGCAGAAGGGTATCATTATTCAAAAATTTCATCTCCTAATTCTGTCTTCTAACCACAGGATCAGCACACAAGAGAAATGAATTTTAATTTCATTTTGTTGTTGTTTTTGCAGAAGCATTAATTAAGTGAAATATGAAATAAATGGACAAGTTCATGAGTGAGTTATAAATCAAGTATCATAAATTCCAGCAATTGTACATTAGAACATTTATAATTTGCAGGTACCATTGAATAAAATACAACTGGTTTATCATACAAATTGTCACATCAAATGATACCACTGGCATAAACTATGATCTTGATATGATACACAAACCTATTTAAAAGATAAAATGTTTATGTATTACAGTTATTGTATTTATTGTTTATTGTAAAACCAATTCATCAAAAAAACATGCACCTAATATGCCAACTTGAAAGTAAAACTCACAATCCATGATTTAAAAGGCAGCAATTTCAAACCACTATCTTTAGTGGTCCATGATATGAAATTCTCCAAGCATAAATTCAACACTGTGCATGCAACAACGGGCCCTGTGCTCTACAACAAGTGATCACACTGTTTATATACTTCAAAGAAAGAGAGCTACACACATATTATCAAAGAAAAACTCTAGGAAGAAACATAATATAACTTAAGAAAACCTTTACTAGAACAGATTTTTCCAAAAAAATTCAAAAGCAAGTCAAGTCACTGGAAAGTAGAGCTTTGTTACAGGAAACCCTCTTGTGCAAATATGAATATTGAACTTAAAGCTGTGACATGTGTATCTGAATTTCAATGCACAAAATGTAAACTTCAACACATTCTAAGTACAGGAGTTTTAGCTTTGGATCTTTTAACAACTGTAAGACAGCTCTAAAAACCCTAAATACCAGTCAAAGTGCAAAAGAGGTCCTTCAGAACATATCCCTTTGGTATATTATAGTCACATTGATAACAGGATTAAACAAATTATCAGTTAACAAAGGGGCTTTCAAAAAAATCTCTGATTATCTCTCAACTCTCTTTGGATTTTTGTTTTGTTAATGAAAAGTTACCAACAAAGTTACAGGTAAAGCTTTTTACCTGTAAATGTTCAGAATAATTGATTTCCGGTTTTTTAGATGGAATCTGAACGCATGCCATGAAAATTCCTACTTGGAAACAAAATAACACTGCAATTTTCAGCTGGGGGTAATGGAAGGTGTCAAGATGGCTTCTTGCAAGAGTGAGACAATCTGTGAATGATGAAGTCCATCTCAGTCCTGAGGAAATTCTGTGAATGTCATGGGCAGCATAGGATCATCCTGACTCTTGTGCTGTTTATCTGTAAACTTTTAAGATATATAATCTAGTTCACACCTCCAAAGGAAATCTTATTTTTAAAAGTCTATTCATTCTCCTTTAATTCAAGGGGAACTTAGTTTCCTTGTGTTACTCAGAGCAGCATCTACAAAATAATGAAGAATGATGTTAATACTCAAGTGACTTTTAAGGCCAAAATTGTTGTCTGTGCTATGATTTCTAACACTAATAATAATGTACAAGATGGACTCAGTAAAATGTGACTCATTACAACTACATAATTGGCTTTTGAAAGTATGCAAAATGTTAATGTCTTAGATTTTATCTTATTCTAACAGGCATACATTTTTAACATTATAAAGTGCTCAATTTGGCATGTGCACTATTTCTTTGTATTTGTCTGATATTCTTCTTTTCTGGGTAGTGCTTTTTATGCCCTCTATAAGTAAGAAATTGTTAACCACTCAAAGTCATGAAGATATTGTCCTGTGTTTGCTTTTAGAAGCTTTGTGATTCCAACTTTTATGTTTAGGTCTGTGATCCAACTCAAATTAATTTTTGTGTAGGGACTGAGGTGGAGGGATGGAGGTTCATTTCATTTTCCATATGGATACCCAGTTGCTTCAGCACCACCTCTTAAAACAACCTTCCTTTTGTTCGTTTGACTTGACACCTTGATTGAACGTTAGCTGATTATGTATATGTGGGTCTATATTCACTACTGTAGCCTTAGAGTGTCTTGAAATCAAGTATGTTAAGTCTTCCAAAGTTTTGAGATTCTTATGTTCTAGATTCTTTGTCTTCCTACATACAGTTTAGAATAAACTTGTCTTTGCTTATTTTTTCCAAAAGGGCCTGCTGAGATTTTGATTGCATTAAGTCTATAGGTTAAAAAAAAGCAATAAATACACACATAAATAAAAAGATCAGGAAAAACTAAAAAACCCCACAAATTTATAAGTCAATTTGGGGACAATAGACTTAACAACTTTGAGATTTCCAATCCCTGAATAAGGTATATCTCTCCCTTTGTTAGGTCACCTTAAATGTATCTCAGCAATGACTTGTGGTTGTCAGTAGAGAAGCCTTAGACATATGTCATTAGATTCATTTCTATATATATTTTTTGTATTACCAGTGTGCATGTTGTTTTTTTAAATTTCGTTTTTTCAATTCTTTGTTGCTAGAATATAGAATTACAATTTATTTTGTATAATGAGTTTGTATACTTTGGCCTTATAAAATTCACTTATGACTTTTAGTAGGGGATTTTTGTGTATCGATTCCTAATGATTTTGTACATACACATGATCTGCTGAGCACGACAGTGTTGCTTCTTCTTTTCTAATCTTTTTGTTTTTTATTTCTTTATTTTGAGTGATGGCACTGGCTAGCGTTCCCAGTATAAATGTTGAATAGAAATGGTGAGAGCGAATATCCTTGGCTTGTTCTCAATCTTAGGGGAAAAACTTTCAATATTTCACCATGAAGTATGATGTTAACTGTGCTTTTTCCTATGTGTACATTAGCAGACTGAGGAAATTCCCTTTATTGTTAGCTTGGTGAGAGGTTTTATCATGAATGAGTATGGAGTTTTGTCAAGTACTGTTCTGCATCTATTGAAATAATTACATAAGTTTCCCCTTCATTATGTTAATATGGTGACTTACAATGATTTTAAGTGTGTAATACAAGCAGTTAAAACTAGACATTTCCCTCCCTCTTTAGCTGCATTCGCAAATTTTGATATGTTGCATTTTCATTTTCACCTAACTTGAAATAATTCTAATTTCTCTTGTGCCTTCTCCTTTGCCCCATGAGTTGTTTAGCTATTTATTATTTAATACCCAAATATTTAGGGACTATTGGTTTCTAATATAATACCTTTTGAGACTTTATATGATTCCAATCTTCTGAAATGTATTGAGCCTTATTTTATGACCTAGCATATGATCTTGGTGAACGTTCCAGGTATACTTAAAATCATGGTATATTCTGTTGTTGTTGGGTGTAGATTTTAAATAAATGGCAATTAGTTCAGGTTGTTGGTATATCAGACTCTTCTGATTAGTAATTATCTAAATAATTCAGTAATTCAATAATTTTCTAAATAATTTGACAATTAGAATAGAAAACCTTTGAAAGGTGACCCAGATTTAGAGTATGATAAAACCAAACAAACAAGAAGTGACTCTATTTGTGGGGTTCCCATGGGACCCAATATTTATATTGAGCCCTATCACCCTTAGATTTTGTTTCATGTCATCAAAAAATCTAAAACCAAATAAGTTACTCCCAGTCTATTAGATTCATCTAAACACAGTGTACCATTACCTGAAATTTAAATACAAGTCCAAAACTAGAAAGTCAAAGGAAATATGTACATATAATAGTAATCTTGTTCACAAACAAATCTGTTTTCTGTGGGGTTTTTTTGTGCTGCCTTTTTATAGATAGCTCAGTATCATTTAGGGCTAAAATCTACAATAATACTGGTTTGGATATAGAAATATTATGTACAAAGGTTTGGCTTAATAGAAAGGAACATTAGGGTAGTTTTGGTTGCTTCATACTACCTTTACACATTAAGTCTTGGGCACAGACACAAAGAAGTGTGTGTGTGTGTGTGTGTGTGTGTGTGTGTGTGTGTGTGTACCAGAAACCTATCATAAGGAAACTGAGTGAAAACACTGGTAAAGCATTCTTGGATTGTAAGGCTGGTACCTTAAAAGCCTATCATAGGTATTTCGTTCTGAAGGATCTCTTATAAGACACCCCAGTATCTGAAACTGTCTTTCAAACCCATCAACCTTGTAGGGAAAAGTTTAACATGTTTTAAAAAAATCTTTCTTCATTAATTTAAAATTATTAAAGGAAAAAATTAAATCCTAGCTAACATAATATGCTTTCAGCTTCATCGCTAAGTGCAAAGAGGTTCTTACCCTATGCCAATTGCATATTTGGTAAAGCTTTAATAATTTTATCCTTTAAATGAGTAGTATACAGTTTGTTCATATTATACCTGTAACTTTGGTATTCCGAAACCTATAGTCACCGATTATAATCTGTAAACTGTTCCCTGGAATCAGGCCTTCTTTTCTTCTGTTTAGATTTTTCACCAACCTAAATAACAAATGAATTAGTGGCCAACAATGGTAATATAACCTAATAAAAAACAAAGACATTGCATTGCAGCTCACATTTTCACAAAGCTATTGAATGTGCTCAAAGACCTTCATGACACTGTTCTTGAGTCCTTTGAGTAACCTACAAAGGACTTAGGTTCTAGCAAAAATGGTTATTACTTTAATGGTGCATCATTAATTGTTGCCCTCGTGACCTTTAGGGTCAGAGTACACAGTCAATGTAGCATTTCAGTTAAAGTTATTGACATAGAGAAGACAGGATTATTTCATATAAAATTTCAAGATTTATGGAAGCTTCATTCAACCCTCTTCCCAACAATATTTCCTTCCTGCTTTGGGTTCTCTAAAATTAAACAGCATATTTGGCAGAACCATCTTTGCAGTTGGTGCTATATGAAGTCAATGCATAACGATAGAACAAGGCTGAAAAGTCAATATTTGAAATGATAAAGAGAAGTGTGGCTATGTTGTAACGGAGAAAAGCATGGTCCCCAGCACGTAGTAGGCATTCATTAAAGATGCGATGATTTAATGAATGACTTAAATTACCACATGTAATGTGATCTGTAGCCATTACAAAGCCAGATGTATCAGCTGCAACGTCTCAGCCACAGGTAAACCACAAGAGAGCATGCAGACGCATAGCATTTCATTCTTTCAAAGCATTTTTCACTCACCAAAGGTTAACATTCCTTTCAGTGAGCTAGATAGGCATGGCTGAAGCAATGAAAATGAAACACTGATAAGAAATGTGATATTTCTGCTTCCTGAGACTGTATAACAAAGATACAAGTAAAGCAGAACATTTGATTAGATATCCATGTGCCCCAGGTGGATGTCATCACAGGCATGGAGAACGCACCTACCATCGACCCTCAGCATCCTCATGGAGAAGCTGAATGACATCTCCATTTCTAATCAGGAGGTCTTCTGAGCCTCTCTTCCTGCAATCTGCTAGGGCTTTATATTTGCCTGGAGACTGTAAGGTGGTTTGGAGAAATTACATTATAAATTTGATCGCAAAACTACTTTGCACAAGTGCATGCTCTGAGACATAAAGAATTCATGCGCTACTTCAATGGCAAATGTGGCAGCTGCAGCAGCTTTGCAGGAACAAACATGAAGCAGTTTGTGATGGGGGAAAAAAGCAGAACATGTGTTTATTGAACCTAAAGAACTCACTTTTATTTGCAAAAAGAGAATGACAGCATGAACTACACAGAAAGTAATAGAGCACAGCTAATTTAAGTTACATGAATTATAAGCATAAATCCAGAAAAAAACATGAAAAAAATTTTCAATATTGTTATTTGTAAACTACTCTCATGAAAAATGTATCCCGGCACATACAAAAAGCAATAGTGCTGAACAAATATTTACTAATGTCCTCAAAAAGGATTTCTGGGCTTTACACTGTTTTGCACCAGTAAAACTAGTGGGTATAGAAGCTTTGGGTCCAATAAAAGCAGATTAAGTCGTCATGTTGTGCTTTACCTGGCCTGAATCTTTTTGCAGCTATAATTTTAACTGGATTCATTAATAACCTAAATAATCCAAGGCACACTGATTCCATTTGGTTACAAAGTCGATGGAGAAGAAATAAATTTCATGTCCCAAAGTATTCGGAGATGAGGATTTTTCCAGTATAATATCTTACATATTGAATACATGATTTTAAACAACGTGCCATAATTTAAAAAATGTATTGAATGAAAGAAAAAATGATGTGATGCTGACTCTTTGTACATCCACAGGAATTAACCTGAAAACAATATCCGCATCACTGGGGCTGGACATCTTTTGAGCTAGCACTTTTACCAGATGGGCTGAAGAACAGGTGGGAAAGAGCTATTACTTCCCAGTTAACATAGCAGCTTCATCAAAATAGGAGTGCCATCTCTGACACGGGCCTCTACGCGGGAAGCAGCACCCATTATTTCTAACTTTTTTTTTTGTTTAACTGAGTCATCCTGCCACCTGTTGGCAGCTCAGTGGCAGCTCAGCTCGGGCTGGGAATTGAACCAGTGACCCTGTTGCTCAGAGCTCGCACTCTTGAGCGAGCTCTTAACCAACTGAGTCACTCAGCCAGCCCCTATTTCTGAATTTTTTATAAGGTGAGGCTGAAAAAGCAGCTCATTGCAACCTGTTTTGCCTTTTGTTGGCGGGGGGGGGGGGCATCTCCCTTTTCTCTTGTTTCTTTTTTTGTATGCAATGATTGTTCTTTTGTACATTTTCCTTAGTAGCACATGTCAGGGAATTATTGGGAGGAGAGAGGAAAACTGATAGGTTTTCCTACATTCCCATCCCCTGTGATTAAAGCATTTATCAGTTTTGCATATTTGCTTTATTTTCTGACACCATGGTGGGAAAATGCTTACTGAAGACTTGGTCAGTTCCTGACAATTCCCCTCACTGAACATCTAACAGCGAACATTTAAACCCAAACTGGCTTTCCCTGACTTTTCGCTCACATCTGAACTGCCATCCTCAGACAATACTCATTAAGAAAATGGAAGTTCCTTTTATTATTAATCTAAACCAGCAGGTCTCAAAGTTTGGGAGGCAGACTTTTGGGTGTTCCCGACATCCTTTCAAGGGTCTGCAAGGTCAAGCTTACACAAAGACATTGTTTGGCTTTTCACTCTTATTCTTTCACAAGTATAGAATGGAGTTTTCTAGAGGCTGCCTGATGTGTGATAGCACAAACAGACTGAATGAAAAAGCAGGCTAAAGAGACTTGCACAAATATTTAAAAAGCCACTCTTCTCACTAAATATTTTGTCTTAAAAATGTAAATTTTTAGTAAAAACGTTATTCATATGAAATTATAATGGGTTTATTAATATTTTAAAATAATGAATAAATAATTTTATATTCCTCAGTTTTAATTTATAATATGGTAAATATCAATGGATGTAAACAAGAGCTCCTTGGGGTGCTCAATAATTTTTAAGAATGTAGAGGGTTCCTACATTAAAATGTTTGAGCACTGGCAGTCTACACCATTAACTCTGGACAAATCTCTTACCAGCTCTGAACCTGTTTCCTCCTCTGTCAATTGGAGATAATAAAGCCTGGCCTTTATGAATATTAAATGTGAAATCATATTGTAAACTGTAAAGTTCCATACGAGTTTATGGTCATTGTATTATTAGTAGAAAGAACATTCTGTTACTTTCTTATATATATTTTTTGATATAACAGAATATTTAATTACATCAGTTCCTGTCAACACACAAGTCACTTAATGATGATTATATTGGCCATTTCCATTGGTTGGCAGGAGGCTCTTCCACTAAAGGCTCCCATGGTTTCCACGGTATCATTTTCCTTGTCAGACTTAGTTCATTTTCAGCCTGAAGAATCACCTCTTCTATTTGGCCACCCTGAAGTTGGTCTTCTAATTTTTTAACATCTGGTTCCACTTTAACCATACCTAGCTTTTCATTTATAATCTGTTCTGTATACTTTTTATATGCTGTATTTTTGGGGATTTGCTCACGAACATCAAGAATCATTGTGTACAATATTCTCAGCCTGTCATGTGGACTTACACATACAGCCAATCCCACGAGGCCAGTGGTCTTCTTCAGCACGCCCACCATGACCGTGTTCACTACCCAAGTACCATTGTGGTACTTTCTTAAAGCATTCAAGTTGATACGCTGCAGCTTTGTGGTTATCCATGCCATCATTCCCTTACCCCAATATTAGAACTGCCAAATTCATTTTGTTCCTCTGAAGGGCACCAAGGAACAGTCCACTAAAAAGCGTCATTCCTACCCTTCAAGCTGGGGACTTCAGAAAATTGGAGATCGATCCTAACCAGCCCTCACTTCCCTCTAGTAATCCACCAGTTTCCTAACAACACTGCAAAACTCTTTTTTCTATAAAACACGTACTTTTACCCTAAAACAACCTCCTTTAGTTTTATGGAGTGACACCTTGCTCTAATATGCTGAGATTTGGTATCCTCAGCACATTTTTGGATAGTCCACTAAAATATATTCCCCAGATGTTATTAAAGGGTTTTTAATGTGTAATGTTCATTTCCTATATTTTCCAATCTGAAATCTAAACTGATTTTTAAAGTACATTGGACTCTCCTTCGTCCTTTGATTTTATCTCACATGCCTTGATTGAAAATGCAGTGGTGAGGCTCAATTAAAGATAAAATTGGTCAACGTATAGAAAATCGGAATGATTGACTATTCATCTAATCGGCTTCAGTAGGAACTCCACATATAGCTCAAACAAGTTCCACTTACAGAGAGAAGTGCTTACTTCTAATAAGTTCATAATAAGGCTTGTTTTTTTAAAATCTTTTGGCCATGGAATACACCTAAGGACTCCAAGGATACTGACAAAAGATTGCTCCCATGTACTTCACTTATTTTATCAGTAAAACTGCTTCAAGAGTTTCTATGCATTTATTTTAATATGTCACTACTAACCATTAGGGGTCTTTCTTCTTCGTTGCCAACATAGGAAGAGTAGAAATAGCTGTTTGACCATTCCTCAGGCCCTTCAGAGATTTCTGCAGTCCAAACTATAAGAAAAACATGGAAGGTGGCAGTTACTCAATGGTGCTGGTCCACCACAAGGAGAGAAGTAAAACTAATTGTAATAATCAAGGTTATAGCCTTCAGTGGCCCAATATTATCTTTCTATAATAAAACCTTCAATTAGGTTGCACTATTTTAGAATTGCTGATATTTCAGCAAGGGCCTGGCATGTCACATACTTCTTTAACTTTTTAGGATGGTTTCGAGTTGGGGCTGGTGGAGAGTTATTAAAAATAATACAAAGTTAAATAACATTCTAGAGAATATTTACTGCTTCTTACAGAAAATAATCTCTTCCAAAAATTTTTTCCATAGCATTTTTATTGGTTCATTCAAATAGCACTTGTAATGTTCTACCTAGTACCGTATTTCCCCATGTATAAGACACACCCTTTTTCGAAAATTTTGGGGTCTAAAAACTGGGTGCATCTTATACAGTGGTTGTAGATTTTTTTAATTGCATTTCCCGCTTTTTCGCGCTTCTTGTCTTTGCGCCCAGTGTTTCGTACTTGTTACCAGTATATTAGGTTACATTTTGCCACGTTCTGCCCAGAAATGGCTCAGAAAAGATTTTCGTACAGTGCTGAATTCAAGTTAAAAGTGATCCAGCTTGCAAAAGTGATTGGAAATCGTGCTGAACGTAAATTTGGTCCTCCTCCAACTGAGAAAACAATCCGAGACTGGCTGCTAGGGCTTTATATTTGCCTGGAGACTGTAANCTTAAAGCATTCGAGTTGATACGCTGCAGCTTTGTGGTTATCCATGCCATCATTCCCTTACCCCAATATTAGAACTGCCAAATTCATTTTGTTCCTCTGAAGGGCACCAAGGAACAGTCCACTAAAAAGTGTCATTCCTACCCTTCAAGCTGGGGACTTCAGAAAATTGGAGATCGATCCTAACCAGCCCTCACTTCCCTCTAGTAATCCACCAGTTTCCTAACAACACTGCAAAACTCTTTTTTCTATAAAACACGTACTTTTACCCTAAAACAACCTCCTTTAGTTTTATGGAGTGACACCTTGCTCTAATATGCTGAGATTTGGTATCCTCAGCACATTTTTGGATAGTCCACTAAAATATATTCCCCAGATGTTATTAAAGGGTTTTTAATGTGTAATGTTCATTTCCTATATTTTCCAATCTGAAATCTAAACTGATTTTTAAAGTACATTGGACTCTCCTTCGTCCTTTGATTTTATCTCACATGCCTTGATTGAAAATGCAGTGGTGAGGCTCAATTAAAGATAAAATTGGTCAACGTATAGAAAATCGGAATGATTGACTATTCATCTAATCGGCTTCAGTAGGAACTCCACATATAGCTCAAACAAGTTCCACTTACAGAGAGAAGTGCTTACTTCTAATAAGTTCATAATAAGGCTTGTTTTTTTAAAATCTTTTGGCCATGGAATACACCTAAGGACTCCAAGGATACTGACAAAAGATTGCTCCCATGTACTTCACTTATTTTATCAGTAAAACTGCTTCAAGAGTTTCTATGCATTTATTTTAATATGTCACTACTAACCATTAGGGGTCTTTCTTCTTCGTTGCCAACATAGGAAGAGTAGAAATAGCTGTTTGACCATTCCTCAGGCCCTTCAGAGATTTCTGCAGTCCAAACTATAAGAAAAACATGGAAGGTGGCAGTTACTCAATGGTGCTGGTCCACCACAAGGAGAGAAGTAAAACTAATTGTAATAATCAAGGTTATAGCCTTCAGTGGCCCAATATTATCTTTCTATAATAAAACCTTCAATTAGGTTGCACTATTTTAGAATTGCTGATATTTCAGCAAGGGCCTGGCATGTCACATACTTCTTTAACTTTTTAGGATGGTTTCGAGTTGGGGCTGGTGGAGAGTTATTAAAAATAATACAAAGTTAAATAACATTCTAGAGAATATTTACTGCTTCTTACAGAAAATAATCTCTTCCAAAAATTTTTTCCATAGCATTTTTATTGGTTCATTCAAATAGCACTTGTAATGTTCTACCTAGTACCGTATTTCCCCATGTATAAGACACACCCTTTTTCGAAAATTTTGGGGTCTAAAAACTGGGTGCATCTTATACAGTGGTTGTAGATTTTTTTAATTGCATTTCCCGCTTTTTCGCGCTTCTTGTCTTTGCGCCCAGTGTTTCGTACTTGTTACCAGTATATTAGGTTACATTTTGCCACGTTCTGCCCAGAAATGGCTCAGAAAAGATTTTCGTACAGTGCTGAATTCAAGTTAAAAGTGATCCAGCTTGCAAAAGTGATTGGAAATCGTGCTGAACGTAAATTTGGTCCTCCTCCAACTGAGAAAACAATCCGAGACTGGCTATGGTTCGGAGTTTTGACAGTGAGGAGGAGTTGTATGAATTTCATGATGAATAAAACTTGAGTTCAATAACTTTATGTAATACATTTTTTTTCAAATTTCGGGCCCCAAAATTAAGGTGCGTGTGTCTTATACATGGGAGCGTCTTATACATGGGGAAATACGGTAATATTATTATTTTGACTTGTCTTCTCTGTCTTATTAGGCAGAGACCATGTGTTATACATTGCATGTCTCATAAGAGCCTTGCAAGCAAGAGGTGCTTAATTAAAATATACTGAACTGATATGAATTAAGCAATCTAATGTAGGCAGAGAATTAATTAAGAGACTCTCAACTTGGCTACACTAAACTCTAAACGACTCGTGTAACCTGGGAAAAGTCGTATTAACTTTCTCTGACTTTGTTTCCACATCTGTCAAATGAAGCCATTGGTACTAGGCTCCCTTCTAGCTGCTCTGGGGGCCACAGCACAGATGACCTGAGTGACCTTTAAATGGATAACTGAAAGTTGAACAAGGTTATCATTACCTGTTTCTCCTCAACTAGTAGAAAACTTCCAGATCAAGTACCACCATATTTAAGTATGGCGCATCTGGCACTCTGTTGGGTATTTCTCCAGGGAAGGATATGCTGTTGATCCCAGAGTTGTTTAGGTGACCCTGCTGGATGCTTCTCCAGTACCTTGGACTTCCCTGTTATACTACTTACCAATTTTACTTTAATTGCCTATTGAATTATCTTTCTATCCTCCTAGCTTCGTGGGGATGGCAGCTGAGTGTGTCTTAATTAGACTCTATACCCAGAGCTTCACACAATTCCTGGCACACAGGCTGTGTGCTGTTTGTTGAATTAAACAAATTGTTTGAAATCAGATGAAATGGTACAATTTGCATTAAAATCGATTCCAGCTATAAATGACTCCTCTCTATTCATCAAACCTGAGTGACGTGTGCATTCCTTGAAGCGAAGTGTATGTGTTTCATTCATCTCTGTAACCTGCGTAGCACGGCTTCCCGAACTTGAAAATGCACCAGAAAGACTCACATGGAGAGCTTATTAAATCACACATGGCTGGGTCTCAATGCCAGAGTTTCTGATTCAGAAGGTCCAGGGCAGAGCCAGAGAACTGGACTTCCTTACACGTTCCCGGGTGATGATGACGCTACTGGTCTGGGGAACGTGCTTTGACAAGCACTGCTCTGCAGTGTCCACTGGTGTCTTGCATACACAAGGCATACAGGCCTTATAAAAATGGGCTAATTTTGTTGTTTTTATACAAAAATAACAGATGGGTATATTTTCCAAATGAACAATGGGAGAAAAGAATGTGCAAAGCCATTAATCTTACCTTCGGGTGACCTTGACACATACCTGCATTTGCCTCCGCCTGAACTGATGCGATTGCTTCACCAACCTGCACCACAGGGCTAGTGTGCTCTGATTCAGATTCCTCGGCACCCATAAAAACTACCTTTTGCCTTCTGAAATAGCATATATGTAAAAATCAGTAAGCTTTTATACAGTCCAAGAGGAACAAGAAATTAAAAATGGCATTTTTTTCAACAGATACCATGTGTTAAGAACATACTCTGCAAATCCATTCAAACAGAGCTGACTTCCCCCTTATTTAAGTCTGTGTGATAATATTGGGTTGTCGGGAAAGTCATGACGCATTTTTGCAACGAAAAACACAGAAAAAATATGTCATGACTTTTCCGACAACCCAATAGCTCTTAATATACAAAAGCTTAAATACTAGAACCCAAGTCAGCAGGGTCTCTCTTTAATATGCAAGGAAGAAAATGACTCCCTGTTGACCCAAGGCAGGTGTATTCTTTAAAATCACTAAAGCATTGCAGATTTGAAATTTGCTACAAGGTAGATCTTAAGTGTTCTCACCATGCACACACACACACACAAAAGGATATATCAGGCGATGAACATGCTAACTAGCCTTACTGTGGTGAATATTTCACAATGTGTGTGTATATTAAATCACCAAGTTGTACTCTTTAAATATGTGTAATTTTAATTGTCAACTATAACTTAATAATATTGGGGAAAAAATTCCTGCTGCTCTATGAACTTTTAACCTTAATGAATTAAATGAGGTGTAATAAATGACAGTGAAACCTTAATCCAATTAATACTGTTGAGTTGTATCGCTACTATAAAGTGAATTACAGCATGACATCTAAAGACTTAATAAATGACTAAAGATTGAGTACTGTGAACCTTGGAAGATAAAGACTTCTACTGTGGGGATGACCAGTTAGCTCAGTTGGTTAAAGGGTGGTGCTGATAACACCAAGGTTGCCGGTTCAATCCCCACATGGGCCACTGTGAGCTGCGTCCTTCCTAAAAGAGCCAACTATGCCATTGTAGCATGAAAGCAATGTGTAACCAATGACCATGGCTATTCCCCAATAAAATAAAATTTAAAAAAATGTACTGCGACTTTTATATGGTTCTCCTAAAGCCCCAGATGAACTAACACACTTTGCATCCAATTTTAGCTACCTCTGAAAGGTGATGTGCACCAAAGAGAAAAAGAGTATTTTTTTAAAAGATTTTATTGGGGAATTGGGGGAGGGGAACAGCGTTGGGGAATTGGGAAAGGGGGACAGACAAGTTGCTGTCCTTTTGATCTTCACTCTAGTTGTGGAGGACGTTGCTTCCCTGGCCCATGTTGGCATTGTGATCATTGCGCTCTTCCCGGCTGAGGCAGATCCATCGCCAGCCATTGGACAGCCGCTCAAGGTAGCTTACGGCAAGCCCACTGCAGCCCCACTGCAGCCTATGCTGTTGCCGGCGACTCACAGCAGCCCAGCTGCAGGTCGAGCTGTTGTTCACCATCTTAGCTGTAGAGGGTGCAGCATCACCGGCCCATGTGGGATCCGAACCGGGGCCCTGCTGCTCAGAGCTCGCACTCCCAACTCTTAACCAACGAGCCACTCTGCCGGCATGAAAGAGAGTATTTTTAATAAGTCATCCAATGATTCCCTACATCATGCAGATGGTGCATGGTGAATTTGTGTGCCAAGGCTTTGGGGTCAGTGTGAGGATTCTTTCTGCATATCTGCAAATGTTCTGTGGAAATTCTACCTTTTGATTCCTAGGAGCAAAATACAATGACCACATCTCTAAACCAGCACTATCGTCAGTGCTACCCTTTAAGATCGCTAGCTTCACCAAAGACCTTGTGGTTGTGTCCAGGCACAGTTCCCTCCCAGGATCCATACCTCCTCTCTATATGTAGAAAGAGACACCGAGTGGTCTCCATCAAGGGACCACAAAGCGGTGGGCCAATAGAGGCTGCCAGTCCTTTATCATTCTTACAACTCGCTTTCTCCAATCAGATAGAAGGTGACCAAAAATATGTTGAAGAGAAAGCCATGAGTACAGCCACTTTTACGGTTAGCTTACATGCAAACTCCCCCCAGATATACTGAGAACAAAGCATTTGTAATCATGTGTAGCCCAAACTAGCGGATTCCTTTTTTTTAAAAGAGTTTTATTTTATTTTATTTTATTGGGGAACAGCCATGGTCATTGATTACGCATTGCTTTCATGCTACAATGGCATAGTTGCCTCTTTTAGGGAGGGCACAGCTCACAGTGGCCCATGTGGGATCAAACAGGCAACCTTGGTGTGATCAGCACCACACTCTAACCAACGGAGCTAACCAGTCACCCCTTACTGTATTACTTTTAACACAAGGGGAACAGTGGTATTAAAAATAAGGACTATCAGTCCAAGTATAAGGATGGAACAGATAAAATAATGTGTTTATGGAATTTGATGTGTTATTGCTAACAGGGCAGGTCATTTTTGTCTGAGATGCTGTAATACATTGTTTCGTGTTACATAGGGAAAACAGATTGCAGGAGCGATTGTTCTTAAACAATAATCACTTACACATCATTCCGCTGAGAAGAAAGCTGATTCTGTTCAGTTAACTGATTAAACTGCTCTTGTTGTTTAACTATGGAGAAAAGAAAGCTTAGATAAGCATCATTCAGAAGCCACACTGCTCCCTTCCTTGAAGACCAATGATGCGTGCGCATGTGCGCGCGCGCGCGCGCGCACACACACACACACACACACACACACACACACACACAGCCCATTCCCATTAGAGTCAACCTTCACAGACCCAAAATAACAGAGGGAAAGCCAGTCTGAATTTGGAATATAGAAAAGAACTGGATAATGTAATATTTTATTCAAGAAAGTCAAGTTGATTACTAAAACCTCCCCCACTACAACATGACCAAGCACTGATGACTTGAGGTCCTAAGCAGTTGCCTCATAGGAAAGACTCAGAATTAACAGTCACTTTGCTCTATTACTTCACAACAGCTTCTCAAGCACTAGAGTTCATTTTCTAGTGTAAAGTTCATTCGCCGAAATTGTTTAAACAACCCGTGAATCTTGATCTCCTACTAATTCATTTAACAAACCCTTTCATTATAAATACTATAAAGTAAATTTCAGCCCCATTCCCTGTTACTGTTATCACAAAATCTGAGTCAATGAGATTACTGTACTTCTTGTTCTGAAGAATGCATGCTTAAATTTACTTGTCATAAGTTCTTGTTGCTTCAACAAAATACTTCTTATTTCTTTTAACCATATCATCTTCACATCTACAGTCGGAGCCTAAAGATTTTAGAAAGGGGGAAGAAGGAGACATGTTTCCTTTTAAAAAGGACGCCTTATAATAAAACCAATATAATTCAGTATATCAAACATGAACCGGAACATGAATCCTAAACCACCATATTCAAACTCTTAACATTTTGATTCTTAAAACTTCTAAGAATTTAAAAAAAAACTTCTAAGAAGCAAATCAGTAGCCATCAAATGGGATGAAATAATAGTCAAAACCATTTTGAAATTGCCCTTAAATAATGTTCACAGAAAATGTGAAGTACAATCTTACTTATCTTTTTCTTTGTAGGAGGGTTCTTTTAAAGGTATGCTTTATGTTTAATTTTGGTAAAAAAAAACAAAACGAGGTCTACTGTTTCTGAAAACACAGTCCATTGCAGAGTAATTTTGATAACCAATGACAGCATGCAAGCTTCATTAAATAGCCTCCCATTATTGACCAAATAAGTCTGTTAAACAGATAGCAAAAAGTCTTATGTCTCAATCAAAGAAAACATATTTTTGGGTACTTTCAACAGATAACTGCACATTTACCTGTCACAAGTCATGACACAAATACTTATGGAAATGACAACATCCTCTTGAAATGTTCTCATTTGCCTCCCCTTCCCTTCCTTAACAGGTTGGACCTTACAGCACACCTGGCCAGGGCTTTAACCATGATCAAATCCGAATCGTTATATCGCCCTGTCTCGTAATCAGGCACTCTCTGAATACCGAGCCCAAGAAGAACTCAGAACCGTTATAAATCTGGAACTCTAGAAACTTCACTTGGACAGAGAAGCACCTGCTAAGTTCTTGGCTATCAGTTACTGTTGATAAATCTCCTAGTGTAGTTAAGAAAACTTAAAGCCCTAGAGAGCACCATAGGCATGTTTCAAGTTAAAGAAAACACGTGCTACTAAAAAAATGTTGAACTACATCACAAAAAATAAAAACAAAATAATATTTAAGTGACCTACATGAAAAAAATGAGAACTTTTTGTAATGTACCCCAAATTATTTTTGTTTGCGAACTCAGACTTTTGTATCTTATCGCAGGTTATGCTTTCTAGAATAATTTTTATATGACCAACCTGGACAATATAAACTTCTTCCTTCCCAGCATAACAGATTTCAAACTTGCGGTTATCTCCTTTTACATATTCAGTGATTCCAACTTCATCCATCTACAACATATAAATCAAAATTCTCATGAGCATTTTATTTTGAATATGAAATTACATTAAATCTACCCCCATCACATTCTAAAAGAAATAGAATTTCTCACTTGGGCAAAAATACACATCTCATATTCAAAAAATGTTCAGTGATATTTCTGTCATAGAACTGAGTATTTAAATATTTTCACTGAACTATGCACTTACAGTAGAGATTACATGATCCATTTCAATGATCGAAACAATGTTATAAATCTGAACATCCAAGTAGTCCATGTAAGATTACATTCTGTTATAAATTAACTGTATACTCTTAAAACAAATTATTGTGTCAAACACAGAAGTAAAAGTAACCAAACATCAGTAGAAAAGGTCATACAAAATTAGTTTAAATAGTTATTTTTAATAATCATTTCCCGGGTATGTTAATCTTACAGATGATTAATTATCTCTACAGAAGCCCTACAAGTTATAAACATCCAATTCATGGGCAGGGAAAACCGGCCAGGCACGCAAGGACTCCCTGTATTTCCATTAATCTTGGCCTCTCGAGAAAACAAATAATCCGTCATGGGAGAGTGATGTCTTCTTCTAGCCAGTGAAACTTTTATATACAATATCCCTTCCTTACCACAATTTTTCTTCTCTTCCCTATGATTGTGCAAAGCATAACCTCTTCTTCCATCCTGTGCTGCTAATAGCGCAGTTAATTCCATTTTGAGAAATTTCACTCTCTTATACACACATTTCTCTTAGTCGCCTTCCGCCTTCTCTTTTCTTTCAATTCCTGCCTGATTATCTAAAGAAAAAACTCACTCTCTGTTGCATTAATGAGCCTCCCAAAATGACCCTAATTAGAGCTGATAAGCATTAAAAGTAGTGCCAGTGAAGTCCCCATATCAAGGAAAAGAAAAGGGATTATGCTTAGAAATGAAATGTGACATATAAATGAAAGAGTCTGTGATATCTACCCTGAATGTGGTCAGAAGTTACTTTCACAATGTCCAAAAATATCTTTATATTCCTACTCAACCACTCTAACTAACCTACTTTTGCTCCAATGTCAGGATTTAAGAGAAATAATAATCTCATACTCAATCTCTATTTAAATTGATTTTGTTTCAGTGCATGATAAGATAGAAAGCACAAGGGCTGTAGAGTCTGAGAGGTTGGGGTTGAAATTCCACCTCTACCACTTAGTAGCTATGTATGTTTTTTTTTAAAATCTGGCGACTCATTTCCGTCAGTTCTGGGAAATTTCTGTTGTTTTTTTTTCCCAAGATTTTACTTGGGCATTGGGTAAGGGAACAGTGTTGGGGAATTGGGGAAGGGGAACAGTGTGTTTTTCCAGGACCCATCAGCTCCAAGTCAAGTTGTTGTCCTTCAATCTTAGTTGTGGAGGGTGCAAGCTCAGCTCCAAGTCCAGTTGCCGCTTTCAACCTATTGGGTTGGAAAAGTCATGACGTATTTTTTGTTTATTGTTGCAAAAATGTGTCATGACTTTTCCGACAACCCAATAGTTGCGGGGAGGGGGGGGCAGCCCGCCATCCCATGCGGGAGTCGAACTGGCAACCTTGTTGTTAACAGCACACGCTCTCACCAGCTGAGCCATCCGGCCACCCATTGGAAGCTCAGCTCAGGCGCAGCCCACTGGCCCATGAGAGAATCGAACCAGCGACCCTGTTGCTCAGAGCTCGCGCTCTAACCAACTGAGCTGCCCGGCCGGCCCCTGGTATGTATCTTAATGAAAGTTGCTTAATCTTTCTGAGCTTCAGTTTTCTCAACTATAAAATGGGAAGAATACCTATTTTATAAAGACAATATAGGATTAAATAACAGGCATTAAATGCTTGTGTCATACAATGAGCTTCTTAAAGTACGAGTTTGCTTTCTAAACTTTCTCTCATTTGAATTGCAATAGTTTTTATTATTTTTCATTGCACACATCTAGCATATCATTATAGATTAAATGAGCTTTTTCAAGTTACCCTGGAAATCTAACCATTGTATCTATCAGAGAATATTGTTCTCAGTTACAAACAATTCATTACAAACGATCCATTGGTATACAATCATTTGTAATTTGTAGATTATGTATTTTTTTCCTCTTACAACAACATATGAAGGTTTTACTGAAAGGTTTCTACTTTACTTATTAAATGTTCACTGTATCATGAACTTTATGCAGTTTTAGAAACTTGAGGCAGACTTAAAGTTATAACTATATGAGTAGTTATATAATATACTATACAATAAATTATATATATATAATAAAATGAGGCTGATTCTACAGTTACACCCTAACTGTGGCCTCTGCCTTACCCTTCATATTTTCATTGATGATTCCTGATAGCTATGAATACATTTTCTTTATTATAAAACATTTTATCTCGCTGTGTCAAGTGCTCAGGGCCCCAACTTTTAACCTAATTTTCTGTCATGAGGGTAGTGTGAAGATGTTAACTATCTTGTTAAATGTCACCCAGTGGGTCAAGAACTCTGACATTATAACTAATGAGCACCAATATTAATAAGACTTTTGTTAATGTCCTTGGGACAGAGTTTAGTTATTTCTTGGCTTAGTATTGTTAAGAAATTGATCTTGAATCACATTAGCAAAAATATGTAGCTAGGCTTAAGTGCTATGAAGCATTAGAAGGAAGATACTGGGTATAAAACAGTAACATGGCTGTACCTTGAAAACAGTTTCTGAGATTAAAAAAAGAAAGAAAATGAGCATTGTAACAGAATATAATTTATATAAATTCAAACTACAAGTGCATAGAATATTAGTATACATTTAACAAGAACACACAAACTAAATGATATACATCAAATGAATGAGAATAGTTGCTAGAGCAACAGAGAGGAGGTAAGTGCAGAGATAAAAAGGAAAGAATGAAGGAATGAAAGAATGAATGAACAAGAACAAGGCCTCCCAGCATGGTGCAGTGATTGACAGCATGGACTCTGGAGCCATCTGCCTGGGTCTGAAGCTGGGCTGCACCGCTTACTTAGCTATGTGCTCTTGGGAAAATTGGTCATGGGTCTGGAACTTAGATTTCCCATCCCCAAAATGGGAATATTGGGGAGGGCAGGGGCGGTGACCAGTTAGTTGAATTGGTTAGAGCGTGGTGCTGATAACACAAGGTTGCCTGTTCAATCCCCACATGGGCCACTGTGAGCTCCGCCCTCCCTAAAAGAGTCAACTGTGCCATTGTAGCATGAAAGCAATGTGTAACCAATGACCATGGCTGTTCCCCAATAACATTTTTTTTAAAAATGAGAATAATGGGTTACATCATATAAAATTACTAAGCGATTAAATGAGTTAATATTTGTAAAGAACAAGTCCTAGCCCATTGTAAACACTATGTGTACACTTGTTAAATTAAAAATATAGATGATAATAAATGCATGGACTGAAGACTCTAAAGAGCTCAAATATCTCCAAATGACTAAGCTTAGGGGGACCTTAGGGACCTTCCTTTGCAGCACAGAGGTGGCCAACTTAAAATATAGCACACAATCATTAGAAAGTACAATTGCAGCTTGAAATGAAGTCAAGGCAACAGTCCGTTGACAGTGACAGAGAAGTTGCTCAGCCATAGAGAGCATCTGCACTGATTCTCTCTACTGAGGGGAGGACTTTGAAACCAGTAACCCGAATTGTTACCTAACACGCTGACTAGTAATGCTAGCAATTATGTAATTCTGGAATTTCATCACAGGTAAGGAAGAGGACGAATAGTGAGGCTTAAGAAATAGCCTATCTTTAATCTTTTTCTATCAGTGGCCTCATCGATTTCCTAGTAATCCTGGTCTAAATCCTTGCAGGTATCACTGACTAATCTCTTTTATAAAAAAAATACTATGGGGTGGCCAGTTAGTTCAGGTGGTTGGAGTGCAGTGCTGGTAACACCAAGGTTGCCAGTTTGATCCCCACATGGGCCACGGAGCTGCGCCCTCAACAACTACTTGAGTTGGAGCTGATGGGTCCTGGAAAAATACACTGTTCCCCAATTTAAAAAAATACTAAGAATTACTGGGGAAGGAAAAAAAAATAAGACTGATTTTTTTCCCCTCCAAATATCAGGTATTATTTATTTCCTGTATCTAGTAAACCAACAAGCCTGTCTGTCTACCTTCCATCAAAATGTTTCTTGATTTTATCCCATCTTGTTTCCATGGTGACCATTGTAGTTTGAATTCGCATGACTTTGTTACCTCATACAAGTCCCTCCTTAGTCTAATGTACTATAGAAATATTGTGTTGGTATGTCTATTGTTGTAACAAATTAAAGGTAAAAATGAAAAATCAACACAACCCAGAAACACTACATTAGGTATTAACTAGGTCACCCCACAAATAAAAAGTGAACCAAATGGATTTGGGTCAAACACGCCTATGAAGGTAAAGCACCTTCCCAAGGAATTGGTATATAGACAGCAAGAGATCTGAACCCTGTCTGAGATCGGTTACAAAGTCTTGATTTTCAACCAATGTTTATTAGAAATGTAAAAGACCCTTGGAGATTTGGGGGCCTTGAAGGTGAGTTGCTAATATCAAAGGAGCAACTGGGCATTTGTTATGAAAACAGTGAGGGTTTTAAAGAAGTGGTGACCCTGCTGTGGGCTCAGAAGTGAAGCAGGGAAAGTGAACCATAGGAAGAAGTCGGAGACCTAACCCTGGTCAGGAACTTGTCAGGAACAGCACGAGACTGTTAACCCTCTGGGAAGAGTAAAAAGCAAGGCCTGCTTATCTGGAAGCCTCCTGACACAAACACCTCAGGCCTATGTCGGGACACGTTGCCTGTCCTCTTTCTTACTGCCACTGAAAATGTCATCAGTTCTCAAACACACTGGTGATGACGATGATAAAAGTACAGGCTCATGAACAATGACTAAAATGCTAGTGGTTGAGGAATAGAGGGTTCTCGTTTTCTCTAGTTCCCAAATTTTTCTCTAACAGATGCTATATTGCTTTTACATTTTAAAACTTGAAAGATAAAATGAGTTAGGTGTAAAAAAAAGATCAAATTCGGGTGGCTGGATGGCTCAGGTGGTTAGAGCCCAGTGCTCATAACACCAAGGTTGTCGGTTTGATTCCCGCATGGGCCAGTGAGCTGCGCCCTCCACAACTAGATTGAAACAACTACTTGACTTAGGCTTGTGTAAACTGGAAGTACCTCTTGTCAAACGTCAACACCAGCTGGGAGTGTCCCGGGATTGCCAGTGACTTCTTCAAACACTGCTCTCATTTTGATGCCAAACTAATATCAAAATGGAATGGTAGTTTGGGTTATAGGAGAGAATAAAGTAATTTCAAAGGGTAGGGTGGGACGGGTGTGGACAGGATTCAGATGTAGGTGGCTTTGAATACACAGGAAGAAAGATGCTGGGGAATGGAGGAGCGATAGAAAAAGGGAGGTGGGGATTTTATTGGGGAATGAGAACAGTGTTAGGGAATTGGGGAAGGGGAACAGCCAAGTTGTTGTCCTTCAATCTTAGTTGTAGAGGGCACAGCTGGCTCAGCTCCAAGTCCAGTCCGAGGTGCTCAAGGTGCCGTGTTCAATCTTAGTTGCGGGTGGGCGTAGCCCACCATCCCATGCGGGAGTCGAACAGGCAACCTGTTGTTAGGAGCACCTGCTCTCACCAGCTGAGCCATCCTGCCACCTGTTGGCAGCTCAGCTCGGGCGCAGCTCACTGGCCCATGTGGGAATCAAACCGGCGACCCTGTTGCTCAGAGCTCGTGCTCTTAACCAACTGAGCCACTCAGCCGGCCCAGCACATATCCATTCTTTCCATCTTGTGTCTGCTGTATGATAAAGGCTCCTTGCTCCTTGTTACCAGTACCATGGGTAAGAGTGCTCGTGGGGGAGCCTGGGTCACTTATTATTTCAAACTTTGCTCTGCGGGACTCTAGGGAACCCCCTTGGGGACTGTCTAAGAATGGAAAGGATGGAGACAAAGCTCTGCCCTTGCTCACTTATTTCCGGCAGAGAAATTCTGCTTTACCTGACTTCTACTTAAGATTTCATAGGGAGAGTAGGCGAAACAGGTGTAGGGGGTCAAAGGGTCCAAACTTCCAGCTGTAAAACAAATAAGTCCTGGGGATGCAATGTACAGCATGGTGAGTCTAGTTAATAATACTGGACGGCATATTTGAAAGTTGCTAAGAGAGTAGATCTTAAAAGTTCTCATCACAAGAAAAAAAATGTTAACTGTGTGGTGATGGATGTTAACTAGACTTAGTGTGGTGATCACTTCACAATATATACAAACATCAAATCACGATGTTGTACACCTGAAACGAATATAGTGTTATACGTAAATGATACCTCAGTTAAAAAAAGATTTCGTTTAAACAAAGGGATGTGCCACTAAAGTATAAAACCCACTCATTTGAACTGGAAAAGTACACAAACTTGAATATACATGTGAAAGAATATCAGACTGCACAATTCAAATTGTCTTACTTTTAAACAGTGCTTAAAACTGTAGGACGGGTATCTATCACAGCCTTCTCCGTTTTCAACACGCCTTTTACAAAACACAATGGCTTTTTCATACAAGAAAAGATGCCGCTGCATTGGTTTGAATCTAGCAAAATCCTTCATTTTTGTAGCACCTTTTTTGTGTCCAATCCAAACACTGAACGCACCCTGCGTTACCATCTTGCCCAGCTCATTTAAGTTCCCCTAGAACGGAAAATCGAAACTCATTAGCACAACAAGCAGAGCTACATTCAGATTCCCGATGTCAACATTATAGTGTTTCGCTTGAACTACTAAAACCCTGAGGCATAATTTATATAGTTTAAAAAATTTCATCATAACTTTTTACATTAAAACATGCCATGTGTCACATAGTTACAAAATTACTGCTGGAGTGGGGCATACAAGAAACTTCCTCTGCCCTGGCTTCCTGTGTTGGTGTTTAGAGAGGGTAACTCTACGCATTTCTTCCTCAATCCTGATTGGCGAATGACATGGATCAGTCTAAGTTTCCCCACTGGGTGGAGCTAACTCTAAAGATTTGACCTTTTTCTTGCATATCTATCCTGGACTAGGGGCAAGGAGCATTTCTGGGATAAAGTGTCTCCTTAGAAGATCCAAACATTTCTTCAAGCAGGATGTCCCAAGGTCTGGACTTGGGGGTAAGCTGCTGGGGACAAAGGGAGTGTCACAAATCCATCTGGCTAAAATCAGAAGCCAATTCTCCACTTAGCATTATCAGTAAAAATGTGGACACTGGGATCTCCGTTTGCCTCTTCTTATTTTTCAATTGGTTCCAGGAGATGAAGAAAGGGATGTGAACATGCTAACCACTAAAATTGCAACAGTCATTAAAATCTACTTACAATATAGCCATTTATTGCAATCTGATGCATAGAGTCATTAACGGACTTCAGTAAATCTAGCACTGTGTCAAGTGCCTCCTTTAATTGGTCAGATCCTTTGCAGCCTTTGCTACATTTTAATAGCTCCTGTAAGTAGAAGTTGAGAATTAAACTTAATATTAGGCACATATTAATAGCTGGAAAAAATGAATAAGATTTTGGCCAATATGCTTTCAAAGAGCAATCCTAAGATTATGTCACTTTTCTGAGTGGTTTCTTTCATATGCTATTGTCACATCAATACTATGTTTAATAACAATGTCAAAATTGGAGAATAAATGACATAATGAATAAATAGTAAAAAGCAAATGACATTCAATGCTTTAGAAGCTGAAGAACAACAACTATTAAGACACACAAGAGATTAGTTTTTAAAACAATTACACACCTTTTGGTCCTCTACATACAACAATTTCTTTTACTCATTATGCATATACCATAGAACACTGTGAAAATACATTTTTAAACAAGCTATGTTGTATTTACATTTAACACAGCATTTTAACATTGCATGAGGGATGTCTCATCTTCACTTTCCATTGAGAAGGCTGTATGAAATACAGTCGGCAAACCGTATGAAAAAATATTTAGCTCTTTTTAACAACAGTAAAAGTTCTGCAGTAAACACTATACATCCGTCAATATAACTTGCATGGATAATTAAATAGCTAAAAAGACACCAGATAATCTCAGCTTTACATTTATGCCTCCAGCCCTCACACAGCCACAGTGAACCCACACTGTATTGATTCTACTGCCAAGTTCAGCCTTCCTAGTCACTGAGTTCACTTATTTCTAGTGCTTCATACTCAGATACTTCCTTTTTAATAGTTTTGGCACATCTGACCTAAAGAAGCAAGTAAAGAAAGAAACAAACGCATAATGTACTTACCTTCAACAGTAACTGATATTTGGTGATTCGTTGCACTGGTTTGAGTAAATAGGAATCCAGACCAAGTCTGTGTTTTAATTTTCTTTGACATTCCTGTTGTAATTAAAATACAATTATCAAGACATTTAAATTAAGGGCCGGCCGAGTGGCGCATTGGTTAAGAGCTGGCTTGGGATGCCAGAGGGCCCCGGTTCGGATCCCACATATGAGGGCCAGTGACACTGCCCTGTACAGCTAAGATGCTGAACAACAGCTCAACCTGGAGCTGGGCTGCTGTGAGTCGCCAGCGACGGAGTAGGCTGCAGCCCCTGTTGCACTGGGTTGCCATGGGCTACTGTATGTAGCCAGCAGCCAGCATGAGGGGCCAGCAGCCACCGTGAGCGGCTGTCCAGAAGCCGGCGACTGATCTGCCTCGCCCGGGAAGAGCGCAATGATGGTGCCAACTTGGGCCAGTGAAGCAACGTCCTCCACAACTAGACTGAAGAACAAAACGACAGCAACTTGTCTGTTCCCCTTCCCCCAATTCCCCAATAAAAATCTTAAAAAAAAAGAAAAACAAAGAAATTTAAATTAAGACATAGAGCTGTAAAAATGCCAAGTGTTCAATGTTTCTAAATATTTCAAGGAAAATTTACCAGAAAAATCATTGTTACATATGGTATGGCCATTACACGTAGTATATCTGAAAACCTACAGTAAAGATTTCAAGGATGTGAGAGGTAGAAAATTCCAAAATTTCAAAGACTAAAACTTTTTACATGGAAATTCGTGTTGTTGTGGAATGCTTACAAGGTGAGAAAACAATGAATGACCTTAGATGAACATGACTAAAAAGTTCTTCAATATAGCCAAGAAAATTAACAAAAGGCTCAGCTCCACAGGCCAAGGCCCAGAAAAGAAATAGGGTGTACTGAATATAAATCACACTGGGCATGAGAAGAGTTTTTTGATGTTGTTTGTTTTAATATCACAAGAAAAATGCAACCCTCATCAACTGGTGCTATATTTCATTTGATTATCGGTTCACTGCCACTATAAATATAAGGGTCATGACTTTGGGTCCTGGGAACATTGTAGGGTCCATAATTAGGGCAAGAAGGGGGCTGGATAGGATAAAATGTGCGTATAGAAAGGGCAGGACACAAAGGGAGTGGGAGAAGATGTACCAATGTGAGGTCCAGGACCTCCTTCTGGATATGGATAAAATCCAATACATAATCTAATTCAAACAATTATCAACTTATAGTTAAAGAAGGTGGACCAGGGTCAGCCAAGTGGCTCGCTGGTTAAGAGTCTGCCCAAGACTGCAAGATCTAAGCAACAAGGTCGCTGGTTCGATTCCCACATGGGCCAGTGAGCTGCACCCGAGCTGAGCTGCCGCTGAGCTGCCAACAGGTGGCAGGATGGCTCAGCTGGTGGGAACACGTGCTCCTAACAACAAAGTTGCTGGCTTGACTCCCACATGGGATGGTAGCTACGCCCACCCGCAGCTAATTGAACACAGCACCTTGAGCTGAGCAGCGCGACTTGACTTGGAGCTGAGCTAGCTGCACCCTCCACGACTAAGATGGAAGGACAACAACTTGGCTGTTCCCCTTCCCCAAGTCCCCAACACTGTTCCCCTTCCCTAATTCCCCAATAAAATCTTAAAAAAAAAAGATGGTGGACCAATACATGCATTTAGCTCTCCTCACTCATGAAACCCAACTAAAATGATGGAAAAGTTATTTTTACAAGGCAAATACCCAAAGTTACAAAGATGGGGAAAGAAAAATCGTTGACAAAATTTGGAAACTGGAAACCTAACCGAGCACACTACAGAAAAGAAAATTTCAAGTTGGCAGAGGGAAAAGCCAGGGAACAACTCAATTTATGTTATAGAACATCTTTTCCCCTCTAAAATGAATTACAGACATCAGGGACCTCTGAAAGTGAGAGACGAAGGTGGGGTTTGAAAAAATATGGCTGTTGAAAGACTGTTTAAGAAGTAATTAGATACTAACAAGTATTGCTGAGGGTGTGGAGAAATCATTCCCCTTATATCGTGCTGGGAGGAATGTAAAATGGTGCAGCAACTTTGGAAAACAATCCAACAGTTCTTCAAAAAGTTAGAGTTACCATATGACCCAGCAACTTCACACGTGGGTGTATGGCCAAGAGAGATGAAAATATATGTCCACATAGAAACTTGTACACAAGAGGTGGAAAAATCCCAAATATCCATCAACTGATGAGTGAGTAAATCCAAAGGGGGAACATTCATACAATGGAATGCTATTCGGCCATAAGATGGAATGAAATACTGACACATGCTACAATGTGGGTGAACCTCAAAAACATTATGTTGAGTGAACCAAGCCACACACAAAATACCACATGTTTCATGATTTCATTCATATTAAATGTTCAGAACAGGCAAATCTATAGAAAGCAGATTAGTGAGTGCAGAGCGCTGGGGTGGGGGCAAATGGGAGGCAACTACTAAAAGGAATGGGGTTTTTTTTGACTGATGAAAATGTTCTTAAAATGACTGTGGTGATGGTTGCACAACATTGTGAATATAGTAAAACTATTGAATTGGACATTTTAAATGGGTCAGTTTTATGGTATTTTAATTACATGTCAGAGAAGCTGTTACCCTCCCCCAAATTAAACGAGCATAAAAACCTAAAAGGAGCAGCAGCATCATTAAGCCTCTAGATAGCCATGCCACTGGGCACAACTGGGGGGCTGCCTCTCCCTCCACATAGCAGAAGAATGGATGTTTATCTGAAAAGAGTAAAACGGAAGGCCTTTGGACTAGGGAATGCCAGGTCCCGTTGAGGGCAGAGTACCATGTTAAAAGCAAAGAGACTACTTGAATATTTATGTACTAAATTAGAGACTCTCAGCCCTTTTCCCTCACCTGGCTACAAGAACACTGGCAGCCAGGTCCTTATTCACCAGGTAGCAGACTGGGCAGTCTGAGAGAAAGGATCTAAAGACACAAGTATTGGGGATCCTCCCAAGGAAACAGATTGAGACAAATCATCCAGCAGTAAGGAACATGGTCAGTAAACCCACATATGCACAGGGAACTTCGAATGAGCTTTTCAGCGCTTATTCCTAATGTAAGTAGACAAACATGTATCATTAGACTTTGAAGAAAGTATCTAATATGAGTAATAGAAACAAAATGAAGAAAAAGAAAAGCAATCTGAAGACAATGGAAACCATGGAGGGAGGATAAAACTATTTAAAAAAAGAAAAACTATAATTATTATCCTCTTATAGATAAATGAAACAAACACATGAAACAAAAACCAGTTCTACTGAAAGGAATCCTGGAGAACAAAAAAAGAATAGAGGCTCTTCAAAATTAAAAACATAACAGCAGGAACTCAATAGAAGGACTGGAAGATAAATTCCAGAAAACACAGCAAGAAGACAGAGTCAAAAAATAGAAAAGAAAGATAACATAATTAGAGGACTGGTCCAAGATATCCAACAACAGATGTAAAATAGGAATTCCAGAAAGAGAGAACTGAGAAAATCGTGTGGAGAGAATCAAAGAAAAAAAAATCCAAGTAAATTTGGACAAGAGGTTCCAAATTCAAAGGGATCACCACAAGACTAGCATAATGAATAAAAATAGTGCCAAAATCACGGCACAGCATTGTGAAATTTCAGAACCCTGAGAATAAAAGAAGTTCCCATAAGCTTTTAGAGAGAGGACAAAAATTAGGTCATATGCAAAGGCACAAAAACCAAAATAGCATCCACTTTTGCAACAGCTACACTGGAAGCTAGAAGACAATGGGGTAAATGTCTTCAAAATGCTGAGGGAAATTATTTCTACAAAGAATTCTACACCCAGCCAACCCAGCAATCAAGTGTCAGGGTAGAATCAAGACATTAGCAGATATGCTTGTTCTCTAAAACTTTTACCTACCATGCACACTTTCTCAGTAAAACTACTGGAAGGTGTGATCCACCAATCAAGTGAGTAAAACAAGGAAGAGAAAGACATGGCACCTAGGAAACCAGAGAGCCTATGCAAGAGACAGGTGAACAGAATCCCCAAAATGATATTGACCAACATTACAAGGGCTGAATGTGGTTGTCTCTTGAAGCAGCACATATGTGTTCGTGTGCATATACGTGTGTGTGTTTTGGGGAGAGTCGAATTGTTCTTTAACCAATACATATATATAACTTACTTAAAGTAGAAAATGAATTTATAAATAAAAGGTATCCCAGTATCTCCCAGAGTATATCCAAAACCTGAATAATTACTATACCTGGAAAAAGGCGCACTCTGAATACTTCCTCCAAATTGCCTCTGATCTGGGCTTATTCAGACAATATTTTGCATAAATCTGAAAATCATCTTTCTGTGATAAAAAGCAAATTCAAAGGTATTACCAATTTGTGAACACGTGCTTTTCTGATCAAGAAAGGCTAAGCATTACAGGGAATGTGGCCTAAGTGGCCTGCCACGCTGGCAGCTGGTCAAAAGCCCTCTCTGCAGTCCAAGAACGGCATGCCCCTTAGTCCCGGTAGAGGGACACATCATTATCCAAGTAACTGCATAACTTCCACTTACCAAGTTCAAGAGTTAGAGGCAGAAAAGCCTTCTCTGAATGTACTATGAAAGCATACTCATTTTTTTCCTAACTAGGAGTTAACAGGGTACCAAGAATTCTGCTCTTTCTACGATGTTAGTCGCTTGGTTCCCTGGTGAGTGAACTTGTAGCTAACTTCCAAGGTCCTTGGTTAATCACTGGGACATCACCATTGTATCACAGCTCCACTGGACATCTGCCCATGCTATTCTCTCTCCCTGGAATCATATTTATTTGACCCTTAGCTAATGGACAGCCTCCTGTTCACTTTTTTACATTCATCTCATTAGTCATGTCTTCTAGAAAGCAATCGTTTATACCTCTAGTCTATGTAAGACGCACCTCTTCTTGGCTCCTACAGGACCCTTTGTATATCTCTAACATAGCACAACTCACGCTGTATACAAAGGATTCCCTGTTTTTCTCCATGAATAGTCCTGGGCTTGGTATTCGCATTGCCTAGCACAGTTCTTGGCGCCCAGTAGGTTCTCAGTATGTGGCTGTCGAATGAATGAGCATATCAAAAGGCATTTATTAAACCACTGCTGTTTGCCAAGAACTCAGCTAACCTTTTGAGATATACAAAGATATATAGGATATGGACTCTGCCTCACAGTTTTCCATTGAGTTGGAGAATGTATGAATATATGTAAAGATGCAGAGAAAATGTAAAATCCCCAATGAGTAGCACTCATTAAGTCCTACAAGAGTCCATAGGAAAGAGATTGCTATTGGTTAAGGAAGAATTTGGACATAGTTTAAATGTGTTTAAAGTTAGGGTAGGTTGAGAAAGGGAATAACACACAATTCTTTCTTAACCTTAGTTTCTCCCTCCATAAATACTTTCTGAGATAAGGTATCTATTAGAAAGCTTTTGATAAACATCTCTATCAAATTGATTCTCAAATCAAGGCAGAACTGATATTTCAGGAACAGGAGGAACAAGATAAGCAGAGAACATTCTGAGAGGAAAGTCTACTGGAGCGGAGTATGATTACCAAGCCTGGGAAGTCAACTGTACTAAGTACACTCTTGGAACATTGAGAAACGAGCCTCCCTGAATGATCTCGGAGAACAAAAAGAACAGACAGCTCTCCGTTTTGCAGGTCTTGCGATAGATGCCTTGGGCCTGAAAGCCAGACTACATTTCATTCTAAGACTTTGCATGTATTAGAGGGGAATACCAAGGCATCACGGAGGCTAAAAATTAACCAAGCCAAGAATGGTTGTGCTAAGAAGATCCCAACGCTCACAGCTTCATAGCAATGATGGTCCTTGGACTCCTGGGATCACCGAGGGGTCAGGGGTTGCAAGCTGAGCCATTGATGCATTTGAGAGCACAGAACACAATGGCCATTTGCATGCTCTCGATACCCCATTGCACCAGTTTCTGTAACAAAACCTGGTTTAGCATTAAATACTTGAAAGTGATGTGTCTCCTCCAAGAACATAAAGACATCAAAAACAATACCTACCTTGTCTCTAAATCTGTTCTTATAAAATGAGCTGCTATTTTGGTGGTCCATATTTACATACTTTTAAGTAATAATTGAACTAACCCTTTCCAGGAAACAAGGTCCCACTCTTTCTGGACAGTCAATGCAATTTTCCAGGCTGTTCATAAAAAGGCTATGAAAATTTCAGAGAAAAAAACATTACATATTTGTATGTGAAATATAAATTGGTCAATAATCCTGTACACAATATCATTAAAAAATTCAACTGAATAATTACATACTTGTTATGGAATTCATAGATTTCTGCCATATTTCCAAAGAGAACATCCTTTTTATTTCTCAGGAGAGGTGGCATAAGATCAAACATCTCGGGATTATCCATCTCGGCTCTATAGCCCTACCCAAAATAAATGCATGTATTCATTTACGAAATATTCGCATTAACATTGGCTTGGGCTACCAAAGGTGTAGGTACAGCAAAATGTATAGGGGGTTAGTGGGTGAAGCTGTTTGTAATTTTAACAGTCAAGTCTTCTAGTTCCCCAAATTATCAATTATCATTTTTATTTTAGAAAGTAGGACAAGGAAGTGAAGGTTTTCCACTCAATGGGGAGAATGAAGTGACAGTTCTTTGGCCTTCAGGGTAGCTTATATTGTAGAAAACAAATAGAAACCAAGTATGAAATACTGTATTACAAGTCATTAACTTCTACTTAAGTTAGCAATAAGTGTTTAGGTTTTTCAGACCAAATTCATATAACATTTGTATGAAATGAATGTTTTTCTCCCCTTTTTAGTTCTTTACATCACAGTCTCTAAACAGCACCCTGGGAATAATTAGAACGATCTACTGTATCCCTAAGAGAACAGCTTATCTCTTCTGTAATAAATTCTGAATCCATAATTCTCACTCCAGGGGGAGAACATGAACACACACACATCTGACAGACGTGCAGCCTCCAACTATAGGAGAAATACCCAGTGCTGCCATGTGACAATCAAGGAAAGAGAGAGGAGCAGGCTGCCCCAAACACTTCCTAACAAACGTAGCTGGGGAGCATTTGGGAAAAGATGGCAAAATAAAATGAGTCCCTTACCAACAAAACAGTGAACAGCTCGCGAACATACACCTTCTCAGTCTGTATCAGCTCATTTAGGACGTGGCTAAAATGAAAAGACCATATTTATCACTTATTTTATTGGTTTAGAATTGCATTACAACGTTCCAATTATCATCATTATAAACTGTCTAAAGTAAAAATTGTTAATGCACAGGAACTACCAGTGGTTTTGGTTTTATCATCAAAATATAAAGTTCTATGGTTTCTAGAATAAGTAGCATCCACAAAACTCTAAAATATATTTAAAAGAAAGGGCTCAAGTATTATTTTTAAAAGAAAAAGTTCTTTATGTCAAACTCACTAAGTTTAAGAATCAATTTACTAAAACCTCACAAACTCTATTCCTAAAAATCTGGGAAATAATTTTGGGGGACAGCACGGTCTCTGAGCCATAGTTCCCTCTCTTTCTCCCTCTCTCTCAAAAAGGAATATCCGCATTTTAGGCACAATTTTTCCCTTTTCCCAGTAATGTTCTGAAATTTTGCAAGACATGAAATGGATTTATTATGCTGGTTTTCCCAAGTACACATCATACTTAAATTTCTGTAGTAATTTTGTTTACTGTCTCTTTAAAATAAAATACATTTTCCTCCCAATGTGATTTCCAATTGACATCATATTTCAAATTCATTTCCTAAGTCTCCATTATAAGTAACCCTTTTACTTTAAATTGTACCTTTGGCCCCACTTTTATTTTTACACTTTAAAGCATTAACATTTAACAATCTTTGAAAAAAATATATTTTATACATACAGAGGGTGCCAAAAAATGTGTACACATTTTAAGAAAGGAAAACTGTATTAAAATTGCAATAATATATACTGATAACAAAAGATGAATACAAGTCACATTTGACTTCTGCAATGACAAGAGGTGCTCAAAGTGGTTACCATCAGCGTCCAGACACTTCTGATTACGGCGAACTACTGTTTGAGCAATGTTGACCAAAGTGTCCACTTGTATACATTTTTTTGGCACCCCTGGTACATATGTCTACATACACCTTACTCTAAAATACTGGCTACTTATACATCTGTGATATAAAATTTAGAAGGTGAATATTCTTATGTTTAGACTATTAACATAATATTATAAAAGTGAACCAAACAATGATTATTGTTAATATCTATAAATAATAATGTATATCTACATATTCCTTTCTAGCTTTTGGAACACTGTCCCATTCACTCTGACCTCTTTTACAAAAGAGGAGACTAAAATTCTGAAGAGGTCTATTTAATCTTCAAGTCACATAAACAGAGCACAGGTTGGGCAGGCCTAAACCCGACTTCTGTGGCTTCATCAAGCGCTCTTTTCATCACACACACAACCCCATTCTGTGAACTCAAAATCCCAAGCGTGTTGGCCCTGAACACTGAATCAGTGACTCCTATGGGTAGATGTGTATATAAGTGTCTGTTAATAAATAAAAGATACTTCTTTAAAACATCCAAGCTATTGTCATTGTTCAAACTGGAGGATTGACCGGAACTTTTCTTCTCCTGACAATCATGCACCACTTCAATCTGAAATGATGAAAATATAAGTTAAATGAGCATCTATGTAGATATAGTTTTTCTTCAAGGAAACTGAGCTCAAATTAAGTTTTCTCTAGGTCCTAACTGTTCTGATAAATTGAAAAATAACACCATAATTATAATTTTTTCAGAAGAAACTGTGGTATGTACTAGTGAAAAATCATTTGAGTTGCCAAAGAGGACAGACTTAACATACTCGTTAGAATTTATTTTATATATTAATGTTTCATCTACTGGGCACTTGGGGGAAATGATGTTAATTCATAAAAAGCTGATCGCCCAGATAACTAAAGTTTATAAATGAAAGACCATAATGGCGTTTTAACCTTACTGATTTTTGACAGAAACCTTTCTAGGAAATATTACATGAATCCTTGAATTCTTTAATGAAGGATATAGAACATCACTGACCCTTTCCCTAATGACTCAGTGGCATCGATGGTGAACATGAATTATATGATAAAAATCTAATGATAAACTTCAGGGCTAATCAGATGTGAAGAGCTATCTACTGTTTCTTGAAATGGCTGTAACCTGTTCATCTGTCTTTATTCTCTGCCACCTGTCAGTCAGTTGCTGCTACAAGTGACCTCCTGATCCTAAACTGCTGCCTTATTTTACAGACTCTATGGGACTTGGACTGACTGCCTTACTGAGTCAACTGCATGAGGTTTTCCACAAAATGGGCTTATTTGCACTTCAGAAGCATCTGAAGTACCATATTTCCCCATGTATTAGATGCACCCTTTTTCGAAAAATTTGGGGTCTAAAAACTGGGCGCGTCTTACACAGTGGTTGTAGATTTCAAATGCCAAAGATGGAACTGAGGATGAGGCAATATATGAAGACAGTGATTCGTCCTCAGTCACAGATGAGGACAAGCTAATGGTTGGGAGTTTTGACAGTGATGAGGTGTTGCATGAATTTTATGATGAATAAAACTTGAGTTCAATAACTTTATGTAATACTTTTTTTTTCAAATGTCGGGCCCCAAAATTAAGGTGCTTCTTATACATGGGGAAATACGGTACATTCCAGGGATCCAGGCTGTACTGGAGGGCTGAGCAGAGCAAAAAGCCTGCACTCCAAGGACACGTAGCATTACTTTATAACAAAATGAAGCACGGAACCCAAAATGAAGTGTGGAATCTATCAGCTAAAAAAGCATTTGCACAGAATATGACCTACTTACTACAAATACACGTGGATAGCACAAACCTTTATTGACTATTTTCTATATATTGTGTAGGCGCAGTCCCAGGTGCTTAACACACATTATCTCAAATCTGCACACCAATTTTGCAAGCTGTGGCACATTCATCCCCATTTCACAGATGGAAGCACTGAGGCTCAGAGAGGTTTAACAACAGGGCCAAGGTTGCATACCTACTGATGATCTGCCACCATTGGTCTATGGTCTGCCACCATTATCACGCTCCCTCTTAGAGAGTGTGTTTGATTTATGTCTGTTCAACGTACCAACCATTATCATCATTTTAATACTAAACTTAAGACTAAATACCGCATACTCTACTCAACAGATAGGTATGCACCATTTACTCCTGACGGATTTCTAAAATACAAATCTGGAAAGTTTTGAAACATCAATCTATGCTTTTAAATACCTAATTTAAAATTGGTATTTAAAACTGGGCAAATTGACTTGCGGTGGAAGAATATGTGCATTTTGGAACTGGGTTCATTAGCTATAAATCTCACCAAGAAAATGTACAGTCACAGTTGCCTATTTTTTTTCCCCTGGAGATATGCAAATGAATACATACACACAGCAGAACGTTACAGTAGTCGTGAGTTGAAACTAGAACTGAAAGACATGTAAGACTATGCAATGCGGCATTCAGCCTGCTTCCTTCTAAAAACCAGCAGTTGCGGCTGTACAACATGATAACCAGGCAGGATGTGCCAGTACAGGCCGTTCAGTACTAGCCTGCTAACAACTGTATAGAACATTTAGAACGCTACCCTTGGCCAGACATTATTCAAAGTACTTCACAAAGATTAATTTATCTTTATACTAATTCCACGATGAGGGTGTTCTATTATTACCCCCATTTTATAGATAAGGAAACTGAGTTCCAGAGAACTTACCCAACATTATACAGCCAGCAAGTGATGGAGCTGGGATTAAAAGCCAGGCAGTCTAGCTCTACAATCTGTATCATTATGACAAACTGCCTCTTGGAAATTATGTTCCTGTCCTTATTTACCATCAAGAACACACAAAGAGCATGTAAGTGATTAAATGCTCCAATCAAAAGACATAGGGTGGCTGAATGGATAAGAAAACAAGACCCTTACATGTGCTGCCTACAAGAGACTCACTTCGATCAAAAGACACACAAAGACTGAAAGTAAAGGGATGGAAAAAGATATTTCATGAAAATGGAAGCAAACAAACAAAAAAAGCTGTAGCAATACTTATAAAGGACAAAATAGGCTTTAAAACAAAGTCTATAACAAGAGACAAAGAAGGACCCAATAATCCTACTTCTGAGTATTTATCTGAAGAAACTGAAAATACTGCTTCGAGGGGACATGTGCATCCATATGTTCACTGCAGCATTGCTTACGATGGCCAAGATGTAGAGGCAGCCTGGGTATCCCTCAATGGATGAATGGACAAAGAGGAGGTGGTGCGTGTGTGTGTGTGTGTGTGTGTACACACACACACACACACACACACACACACACACACACATATATATGAATATTTCACAGTCATAAAAAAGAATGAAATCTTGCCATGTGCAACAACATGGATGGACCTGGAAGGTATTGTGCTGAGTGGAGTAAATCAGACAGAGAAAGTCAAATATCATACAATTTCACTTATATGTGGAATCTAGAGAACAGGATAAAAGAACAAGCAAAACAGAAACAAGCTCATAGATACAGAGAGCATTTTGATGGTAGCAGGATTTCGGGGGTTGGGAGAATGGGTGAGGGAGAAGGGATTAAGCGGCCCAAATTGGTAGTTACAAAAGAGTCACAGAGATGTAAAGTACAGCATAGAGAAGATAGTCAATAACATTGTAATAACTATGTATGGTGTCTGATGGGTACTAAGCTTATTGTCATGATCACTTTGTAAGTTACACACATGTCTAATTGCTATGTTGTACACCTGAAACTAATATAATATTGTGTGTCAACTGTAATTGAAAAATAAAAAAAAAATTACTAAAAAAAAAAGAACACGCAAAGAAAATGTAAGGTGTTGCAGTTATGATGAGGTTTTTCTCTGCAGATACCAGAATATCATGGATAACTGAGAAGGAATCGTGTATCTATCAAGAAACAAATAGGTGCCTTTTTGAACCCAGAGTCTGGTCCATTAGAACCTGTTTTTTGTCCACGTTTCATCCTTGCAGGACTGGAATCACTTATGAAAGAAATCTCCTTTTCTAAAAAGGGGCAACACTTACGTAGGTTTATTGAGGTGGGGTGTGGGGAAAGAAGCTGGAACTCATATGAGCTATTCTACAGAAAGTATTCTGAGCTTGAGCAGACTTGAGACGCTGCTCACACATCTGGGTAGATGCCAGTATTGCAATTAGGCACAATGCGGCAGCAGCTTTTTCTTTTAAATTAAATAGGCTTTCAAACGGACACTACGGGCTGAGCGAATTGAAAATATGGTCTAAGCCCCCATACTGATTCTGCAACCACAGCAATAAAGCCAACCATGAATTAATTAATGATATTTACTTTTAAGTTGCTCTGATTTTGTCTCCAAGTCTTCTTCCCTGGGAGAGAAATATGAAAGAAGAATTTCAAACCAGAATTCAAATCAACACTTTTAATAAAAATACATGCATGGTTATTAAATAGAGAGTCATATTCCAGTGTGTTTATATTAATATTTTCACATTACACTATGCAAAACAGATGAACAGTTAAGCTTAGCTATATGATTTCAACTTCTTACTGAGTATGATTTTCCTACGTGTTCACCCATTCTTTCATTCATGAAACATTTGCTTGACTGCCGAGTAAGCACGAAGCTAGGTGTTGGTACTTATAATTTATTTGCAGATTTAGTGTTCATTCTGACACATAAGCACTGAGTCAGACTGTTGCTCACTGATTAACTGGGTCAAAAGAGTTTTGAAAAAAAATCTAAATTGAACTAATAATTACAGCATCTATTTTGGCACTTCTTACATGCCGGGCACTGTTCTAAGTCCTGCACATGCATTTTCTTTTTTTAATCCTCAAATTAACCCTAAGACACAAGTTCTACTTCTCTCCCCATTTTATAGATAAGTTAGTTTAATGTCTTGTCCAAGAAGCAGAGGTGGTATTCACATCCCAATTGTCTACTCTCAGAATGCACGTTTTTTACGTTTTTAACCACTATATAAAACATTTCTGGAGCATGTTAAAATGCTAAAACAAAACGAAACACAACATCATCGAAATTCCCTGCTTTAGTCTTTCTGTTCCTCCTGTTTAATCTTTCTTTTTTCTTTCCGTTTAATCCCTCTCTTCTGTTTACAGAGGGTGAGCCTCTATATTGTTAAGCGAGGAGTCCAGATGTTCCTACAAAGCCCAGGGCAGAGTCCAGTCAAAGACAAGGTAGGTCATTTAAGTTCCTAATTCTCAGGCCTCTGAAAAGGCTGCCACCCACACAGGCTAGTGGATCTCTCCTCTGCATGGAAGGGACATACTTTCTGTCTTTTCTTCCTCAGCGGGAGCCACTTGCAAGGCACTCTCAGGGAAAGCCACGCTGCTGGGTTCTCTAAATGTTATACTTCACTTTTATTTATTTGCAAATATATTTTGTATATCAATTGCATGTTTATATTATCATTCATATAAAGATAAATTAGACTTATTGGCAATTACCAAATGAAATCAACTGTTCAATAAATCCTGATGTCCACCACTTTAAAGACACCTACTGTACATGGATTCAAACTTATTTATAAAGGTAATTCGGGGAGCTTCCCTAATTAATGGTACGAATTAATTCTCTGCAAATACACTGAGATGAAAAAAGAACATACACAAATCACGAGTAATGTGTCTTTTTCTGAAAAGCAAGGTAGACGAATTCATTCTTTTAACAACAGAAATATGTACATAAAAGTATTCATTGCCTGGGGTGACCCGTTAGCTCAGTAGGTTAGAGCGTGGTGCTGATAACACGAGGGTTGCCGGTTCAATCCCTGCATGGGCCACTGTGAGCCGCGCCCTCCCTAGAAGAGTCAACTATGCCATTGTAGCATGAAAGCAATGTGTAACCAGTGACCACTGCTGTTCCCCAATAAAATTTATAAAGAAACAAAAAAAAAGTATTGCGTGCCTATCCTATATGCTAAGCACCGTGTTTGGTGCCAGGAATACAGACATGAATTGCACACCGTGACTGCCCTTCCAGAGCTTACGGTCTAGCAAGAGCAACGCAAAGCAGGAAATTACACTAAAGCTGCGAAGAAATAAGGGGGACTTGTTATCACATAGCTTGGACATCTAACCAAACCAGATGCAGGGGAGGAGAGGCAGGAAGGAAAAGCTTAGCTAAAGGAAACGGCCTAGAGATGGGAAATCTGACGGAGGAGTAGGAGCTAGCGAACGGGGAGCATTCCAGAAAGGAGCAGTATTCCAGAGAGAGAACAGTGTGTGTAGAGCCCCAAAGGCAAGACAACTAGAGGCATTTGAGAAGGGAAACTGGGGAGACAGGGAGACTGCTGCAGTTGTCAAGGCAACATGATATTAGTTTGGATTAGGGGAGTGGCAGTGAGGGACAGCAATGGGGACGGAAAGAAGCGGATTTTGTGACTGATCAGAGGTGGGGCATGAGTGAGAAGGGGGAGACAAGGGGCGGGAATCAGGGTGCTATTCACTGAGATGAGGAACATAGGAAGAGCAGGTTTGCAGGAGAGATGCGCCGAGTCTGAGCTGCCTACAGGAAATTTGAGGAGGCAAATTATAAACGCAGGCATGAAGATTATGAGAAAGATCTAGACAAGAGTTACAGGTTTAGGGCCTCAAACCGCATTTCACTCCTCATAGACAATGTTCTTCCATCTGTATGAAATGCTAATTCAATAAATATCTATTACACCCTGCTACGTGCCAGTAGGCACTGTGCTAGGTACAGGCTTCTATTCGCCGCAAATTAATAAAAATAAAACAAAGAAAAAAAGTTTGACTTATTTTATGAAAAATTAACACTTATGCTTTGATTCGACCAAATTTTATCTATTTGGCAATGAAAGAGTCTTGAAGAATTATTTGGAAATGTTTGTTATAATCCCCATCCCTCACAGAGCAATTAGGTATAATTAACAACGTTTCCAGCATAAGTGATGCTTTGGTTTAACTGATAAATCATGATGGATGATGGACCAAGCCATTTATCTACCCATGTCATGTATTTAGTAAGCTACCTTCTTCCTCATGAATACATTAGGTAGTTTTCAATTGCAGCAAATCCAAGCTGCTCCCAAGAAATAATTTTATCGCGGATGACACAAAAGTCTCTAAAGTGAAAGAAAGCTTGATTTATTTTCACATTGACAATTGTTTTTCTGGCATCAGATACCCTTTTTTAAGTCAGTAGGTGTGAATGCTCCTAGTTTACAAACAAGTAACCAGGCTAAAAGAAGTTAAGTGAACTGCCCAAGGTCACACAGATAGTAAAGGAAGCCAGAAATCTAACTGAGGTCTTAGGGATTGCAACCTGTTTCTATTTTTATTCTCATAGCTGTTGGTTTTTGGGCCCTCACTGGCTTCTTGTTCTTTTTACTCTTTTCCCCACTATCATCTTAGTCAAAGGTATTCATTTACGGGGTTGTTCATAGTTTTATTTGTGCGTATATTTTTATATTTAATAGCTATTAGCTATATACCTATCATTTTGGCCTAGTTACCTGCTTTCCTCACCTCTTTTTAATCTGATCCATGCTGGGGCAGAGCTGGATTTTTATACTCATTTTGCATGGCTCAACCTTCCTCGGAATTTCAAAGTAGTTCCCATATGTTAATGAAGTCTCTGATTCTCTCAGATCAAAGAGACCGAATTTAGTCCCCTGTCACCCATTCAACTAACTTAAGGCCCCAAAGGCCAAATCACTCTCCCCTAAGAGGCCCCAGAGGCAGCTCAACGGAAACCCTGGAGCGATAGAGTCATCTTATTTCCAGAGTAGTTCAACATCGCAGTGAGGATAATTATTTATCCTAAAGAACGTAGAAAGGGAATGGACATTACATGGTTAAAACGAGTGTACAAAGATAAAAACGAGAAAATGGACTCTGTGACAGTTAATTACAAGCAAAATAATTCTATTTACCTGTACCTATTTAGTAAAGGCAGTCCATTGTATTATCTAAGCCTTTCACTCACTAGAAGCTTCTAAGAACCAAGTTATAGATAGTTTATGGAGACAAATGGTATGCGTGAGTGTGCAAAGGCATGCGTGTGTATCGTTTCATATGCCTTCCTCCACCTGCTGGAAAAAAAGTGTTAGTTTGATGCTGGTATACATGTCCACACTCATTGCAAGGCTGAACTATTCAGTACAGATTTGCATCACCCTGTCCTATACCATGTCACACTGTGTTACCACTGGGTTGTTGGAAAAGTCATGACGCAGTTTTGCAACGAAAAACAGAAAAAATACGTCATGACTTTTCCGACACCCCAATATTTCCCGACAGGATCAACCATGACTCCTGCTTTGTGCAATGTAATTAAACATGGCCAAAGATGCTGAAATACAATTTCCAATGACCAGGACTGAAGAAAAAATTCAGTATTTACGTCAAGCGTAACAAATTCAACAAGAGCAGGGAAAGCAGAGATAGAAAAGATGAATGTTGATACTTTACCAGGTTTAGGTGAAAAAAATGGCGCTCTAGGTCTGATCGCTTTGTCGGATGCAGGCACCACAAACTTGATTGGCCTCACGTGCTGATTTTTCAGATCCCTGAAACCAGCTTGTTGGTTCTCAAATATACTTCGAATGTGTTCAAGCTTGAATTGTACAGTCTGCATTTGAATCTAAAGGGTGCATAAGATTTCGATGAAATATTTTCTGAAACAGGGTCCTTACAAATCCTATTAGATTTCTCAGACTCAGTCAAAAATTGAATGTAGAGCTTAAAATATAACTAGAAGAAATTTAGGAAAGTAATGGAAAATAATTAATGTATTATCTTCACATGGTTATAAAACCAGATCTCAACCAAAACAATTTAAAGAAGAAATGTACCAAGCAGTCATCAAATAGGTCACTGCATAAAGTGATTTACCCTTTCATAGGCTGGAAGGGATAGGCTGGTAAAGAAGGCAAGTTTAGCATGAGAAAGCCACTGAGTTAAGTATTGTCATAGCAGTTTGTTATGTTTTAGCTGCAGGACAGTCTTTTATTTATTTATTTTTTTAGAGGGCAGATGGGGAGGGGGTGGTAGATGAGGGTAAGAGGGATCAAATATATGGTGATGGAAGGAGAACTGCCTCTGGGTGGTGAACACACAGTGTGATATATAGATGATGGATTACAGACTTATACACCTGAAATCTGTGTAACTTTACTAACCATTGTCACCCCAATAAACATTAATTAAAATGAAAAAAAGGACATTCTTTAGTTCTGTTGTAAAACACTCCTCAGAGCCACTGATGTAATAATATCCCCTTCGGACACTCCTAGATGATTTGAGGCAGTTAGTTAAGCTTAGTTGCTTCCAGAGAATGACCCAGTTATTGCCATGGCCATCTTTCTGATTTTCTGGAGCATTCCCTAAGATCTGCAGCTAACTAAGGGTTGAGACACTGCTCCAAACTTCGAGTCAATTAGGCAGTTTAACATCACAAATGTGCTTCTCTACAACGTGGAACGAGTGCTTCGTGACTTTTCCCAGGGGATGGTACTGAACTAACATAGCTTTCCACTCTACTAACAGCTACTTCCACCTGCTCTCCCTTGCTCAAGAAGACCAAATCCTTTCTTTAAACCTTTCTTCTCAAACTGAGTAGAAAAGCCAGATCTGTGTCCACAGAGGGCCTGTTGGTGGTCACTGCAGTACAAAGAAAAGATATTTGGTGTAGGGAGCTCTTGACATGAGCTGTATAGAGCATTATGAACACAAAATGCACTCTAATAATTCTGAGAGCTATGTCAGTCACAAAATGACTGTCATGCCAGAGCATCACGTGAAAGGCGTACCCAGTGAACACTAAACAGATAACTCCAGACACAGGGCAGAGTGTGGCTATCTGGATGGCTTTATTGGACTGCAGATGGGGGCCCCGCACCCAGTCTTGAGCATGAAATCAGAGCTCTCTGATGGCTCATCGCTCAGGCCTCAAATGACGAGCTGACAGCCGCACCTGCACTCGTCCCAGACGGAGGAGCCCCTCAAGCCTCGCCTCCTGACCGTGTCACCAGTCCAGCCTGATGCCTGACGTTCTGCACCTCAGTGCCGTCGGGTCTCTCGCTGGATGCCGGACTCTCTCTCTCTCTCTCTCTCTCTCTCTCTCTCTCTCTCTCTCTCTCTCTCTCTCATCCTTCTTTCGTAAGACTCTGTTCGCCTTGCCTAACCCTATTGCTTGCAAACCTGTGTGACCCTCTTGTGCGAAACCGCTCTCCCTCGACTATTGGAGGCTCTCCTCTGGCTGGAGCCTTGGTTAGTGTCCATGGGAAACCGAATCAGGAGGACTGGATTAACGGCTTTATTCTATAAAGTCTGACATTGTGGAAAGACACAAACGTGTGAGAGACTGCTACTCTGATAGTCACGTCCTGCTCACGACATGAGCCCAGCATTCTTCTAGGACAGTTTTGGGCCTTTCTCCCAGGAAGCACAAGAAAATGTATGTGAGAGCTCCTAGTATGCTAAAGGAGTTTAAAAATAATGGAGTCAGAGCTTAAAAAGGAAATTACTCTTCATGATGTAGGAAGCAGCATTTGGAGTTTTTGATGCTTAACAGTAGCACTGATATCACTCCTTAAGACAACTGTGGAATTACGATTTGATACGAAGTCAGCTGTGAAGCAGTAAAACTCTTATTAACACTACTGTAATTACCGTTTTTAAAAATTGGTTTACTTGAAAAAAAAACTTCTTACCTTGAGTTCAGGAGATAAAATTATATCAAATTCATACTGAAGGGTTTCAGGGTCATAATTTATAAAGGGCAGAGCCATTTCAAGAAAACGTTCCATATCTTGGAGGGCTTTCTGAGCATCTTCTTTAGACTGAAACTTATCTACTTCCTGATTAGCTAGAAGGCATTCTCCTTCATCACAGCACTGAAGAGCCTGGTGAGCAAAACACACACACACACACACACACACACGCCATGAATGAAGAAGAAATAAGTTTGTCCCTTAAGACATTGTTTATCAGGCCTGGCTTTTGTCAATCAGAGTTGCTTTCATAGCTGTTAAGAATAAATATATCTGGGTTGTGGCCCCAGAAATTCTGATTCAGTAGCTCAGGGCCGTAAGCTCCACAGGTGTTTCTGATATACAGCCAAGGATGGCAAGTGCTGCATTTATTCCACAACAAGGAATTCATTCTGCAGCAGAAGGCTGACCAGGATCCTCTCAATACTAACACTTGAGCTGCATGCTATTTTCCCCAAATCAGTAAGTGAAATATGAAACTCCTAGCAAAATATAAAGTGTTAATATAAATGAGTAAAGATTGCCAAGGACAAGGATAAAAGTTTCCTTTGCCAGAGAAGGACATGTGCGGGTTAAAACATTCTTGTTCAGATATGATGCCTATAAGTGATATCCCTATTTTACATTCCACCGCCAAGACCAGACCTTCTCGTCACTGCTTATTCGTGAAAGGGGTCAGACCCACAAGCCATGGAGGAGTATTTTCCAGTCACTGTGTAATTTTTCATTGCTGTAACTATGAAATGTAGAAAGAGTTTCAGGCTTTAGCACAATGCCCCCAGGGCTTTTAAAACTTCTGTCTACAAACTATCACCAGAGTAGAGGCTTCAGAGATGTACCCAAAATAAAAAGGATCCGTACCACAACCACGATCTCAATATTCAGAATGGAGGACAAAAGTCTTACAACACTAGACCTGCTATGAATTCTGCAGAGGTAACATGGATTAAATACGCATGCTCAAACTCAGACTTCTTACACATTTAATTCCAAAGCTATACCAGACCCTGACCCCTTAACGTCTGAGAAGGACCCAAGAGGAATATTATTTGAGGAATATTTATCTTCTTTTTCAGAAGTGCATCATTTTCCCATGACACTACCTGCTGTAGGAGTTTATGCATTTTGAAGGTCCTGCTGAGCTGGATCCGTTTAGCTTTGATCTCATTAACTAAAATATCAGAAAGGTAACGTAGCTCGTTGCACCTCTGACAGATCAAGTCAAGTGCGTAATGGTGATTGGCTGCAAGTCTGTGTCCGTGTAAAATCACAAACCGGGCCTTCGCTAACAGATCCTGATTTCAAGAAAGAAGGAAAATAATTAACTGCATGATCTCTGTTCGAATACAAGGGAAAAAGAAAGTAATTAAGAAGCAAATTGGTTGAGCAAGGGAGCTATATTGCCAAAAATATGATTTGATGTCATACTTCTGCAGGCTGCAAAAAAGCTTAGTTCCAGTAATTAGCTATAGCAGTTGATGTCATCAGAAGCTCATGCATTTCTGTAACAGAAAATTAACCAGCTGCCCAGAATGGGGATGAGATTTGCTTCTCCTGTATGGACAGATTTAGAACAGAGCTGCATATATCAAAGGGGCTACACATGAGCCAAAGAAGGCTAATAGATTTCACATATCTCAGCCTTGGAAATCTCGTTAGCGTCATCATCTACCTGACCACTTTATAGACCTGAAGGGAACATCACAACGTTTCCATGCCAAAAGGGACCTTGACGGCCTTGCCTCCAATCTATCAACTACTGACCCCTCCAGTATAGTGACTGAAACACAGATGGAGCTCAGGAAATGTTTGTCAAGGTAAAATAAAGAAACCTGACGCCCAGAATAAAGAAGTGACTAGCCTATCTAGCTAGTGGGAAAACCAGGGTTAAAATAGGGAGTCGCTGTTTAACGGGAATAGAGTTTCAGTTTTGCAAGATGAAAAAGTCCTGGAGATCCATTGCACAGCAATGTGAATGCACTTAACACTACTGAACTGTACACTTAAAAATGGTTACGATGGTAAATTTTATGTTATGTATCTTTTACCACGATGAAAACTAAAAATTAATAAAAACAAAACAATATGAAAACAAACAAAACAAAAAAAATCAAAGCCCCCTAGTTTCCAAACCAGTCTGCCTTCTATGTCTACCTTTGATACTTACTAATTACCCCACAATCACAAAGATCTACAAGCAGTATTCCAGAACTGGTCACCCCCACGGCTGCCTCTGAATGTTTTTTTTAGATGCTTTTGGTTCACCCATAAATCTGTTTGTTTGCTAAGAATGCAACTTCAAAACCATGGCCTAGCTCTCACATATAAGACAGGAGAGCAGCTAGAGTTTGTTTGGTATTAAAGTCATGAGTCCAAACTTCCAGACCAGCAGAATAATGGCAGCTGGCTCTTTTGAGTACTTACTATACCAGGGGTGCCAAAAAAATGTACTCAAGTGGACACTTTGGTCAACGTTGCTCAAGCAGTAGTTTGCCATAATCAGAAGTGTCTGGACGCTGATGGTAACCACTTTAAGCATGTCTTGTAATTGCAGAAGTCAAATGTGACTTGTGCATCTTTTATTATTGGTATATATTGAGTATTACAATTTTAATACAGTTTTTTCCTTTCTTAAAATGTGTATACATTTTCTTGGCACCCTCTGTATATCCATACATTCAAGGTACTGTGCTAAGTGTTTTCTCTACAACACCTAAATGAATCCTCACAATCACTCCTCAAAGTAGGTAATTTCATCCCCAATCTATAGATGAGGACACTGAGGCTTAGAAAATGTAATCAATTTACCCAAGGTCATATAGCTAGCAAGAGTAAATATGAATGAATGAATGAAATTCTGTATGAATTTGGTTCAAATGATGTCTATTTAAGGAATTACGTTCTTGTATGTTTCCATCACTTCAAGTACCAAATAGCATTCTTTTTTTTTTTTTTTTCAGGTGTGCAAAACAATGCAATAGTTATGCTTTTCACCCCTCACAAAGTGACAATCCCCCTCCCCCAATTCACCGCCCCCCGCAATATCATACATATCTATTACAATTCCATTGACTTCACTCCCCACACTGTACTCCACATCCAAATAGCATTCTGGATAGACATTTTTTCTAGCTTCTTCAAAATGATTTACGATCTTGCTCACACCATCATCTCAGAGGCCTCCTGTTACAACTACATGACATGCAGTGTCATCTCAGGCCCGCATTGAACAGAACAGAATATAGACCAGTATTGCTAAACTAATTATACAGATTATTACTGAGAGATTAATTGTAATAGGGGTTTATACTACTGAAAACCATCAAAACTTAACTATTGCACTTCATAAATATAATGAACCTCTGACATGTAATCTTACCTGAGAATTTTCATCTAAGTTTTCCAACTTCTTTATTTTTTGTTTTACTTGAGCTATATTCCCTGTGACATCTGCCAACTCTGCTTGTTGGTTTAACAGAAGTTCAACATCACTCACAAGCTAAAAACAGGAATAAAAATTAGTCTTAAAAGCATATAAATCATTAAGCATTTTCCTAAGTTTTGTAGGAAATGCTATTAAATAAGAACATGAATATGGAAAAATTACACATAAAATATTTTCAGTTATTTTTATTCATAGAAATGGATATAACCTATTAAATGTTAACCTCCTAGATATCGTATGTACTGATGATTTATAAAATATTACAATGTACATGTGAGATCAAGTAAATGTGGATGTGTGTGGAAGTATGTATATATACTTGCATATACATATTGCCTAGCTCTATGGCAAACGGTTGTAGAAACAAAGACCCTTAGTAGCAATGAGTACACCTAGCACCCAGATTTCGGTCTTTAATATCATTTCCCAGAAAAAGAAACCAGAGCTTCTCAGGAAAATGGCTCCTTCCAGGGCTGAGGCACAGTAGGAGTAAGATTAGCTTGGACCATCTCTTTATGCTAGAAAGTAAAGAATAAAGTAAATAAAGTGATAAAAATAACATTTGGACAAGTCACAAGGACACGGTAGCCAGTTTGAAACACCAAAATAGTTAAGAATGGTAATAAATTATAAACCACTGAAAAACTAGGAAGCCATGAACCATTATAGTAAAGACTGCTTGAAGCAAGAATCATCAATTGATACTAAACCTATGGGGTTCTTCTGATGTGGAGCAAGATATTTGCATGGCCTTGTTTCCTCCCCACACACTTCCTATTAGAGAGCGGGGAAAGTAACTAACTACATAGTGGAGAAATCCAATAGCACCCTGACTGAATGATCAAAATCTGTATCAGTAATGAGGGGCAGGTGGACTTCCATCACCTCCAAATGTGATAACCCTCAGAAGGACACATCACTTACGCAGTATTCTAAGGTGGTCACACACAGATCAATCTAATCACAAGAAAATGTCAGCCAACTTCAAAATGAAGACCAATTGATTAATTGATTGAAAACAAAATATGTTGATTAGTCTATAGAGTCTCACATTTCCATATAAGACTGATTTTCCCACATGAAATGGACAGAATGTATGGGTTTGCTCTTATTTATTTATTTATTTAAATGTACTGGGGTGACAATGGCTAGTAAAATACATCATCTATATATCACATTGTGTGAAGAACATTTTATTTTAAAAAAGACTGTATTCTGGGCCGGCCGAGTGGTGCGATGGTTAAGAGCTGGCTTGGGACGCCAGAGGGCCCCGGTTCGGATCCCACATATGAGGGCCGGTGACGCTGCCCTCTACAGCTAGGATGCTGGGCAGCAGCTCGACCTGGAGCTGGGCTGCTGTGAGTCGCTGGTGATGGCGTAGGCTGCAGCCCCTGTGGCAGTGGGTTGCCATGGGCTGCTGTGTGTGGCCGGCAGCCGGCGTGAGCGGCCAGCAGCCGCAGTAAGTGGCCGTCCAGAGGCCGGCGACTGATCTGCCTTGCCCGGGGCGAGCGCAATGATGGTGCCAACTTGGGCCAGTGGGGCGGCGTCCTCCACAACTAGACTGAAGAACAAAATGGACGGCAGCTTGTCTGTTCCCCTTCCCCCAATTCCCTAGCGCTGTTCCCATCCCCCCAATTCCCCAATAAAAATCTTTCAAAAAAAAAAAGGACTGTATTCTTCAGAAACTGTCAGTGTCATAAAAGAAAAAAAAGGCTGTGGAAATGTTCTAGATTGAAGGCAACTAGAGACACGACAACTTAATGCAATGCATGCATGACTCTCCAGACTGGATCCTGTACTGGATGGGGGGTGGGGAGGGAGGGGTGGGAATGATATAAAGGATAGTACTGAGTCAATTGACAAAATTGGAATACCAATGGTAGATAATACAAAAGTATTGTATTATTGTTGAATGTACTGAATTTGGTAACTGTACTATGATTATGCAATGGAATAGTCCTATTCTGTATATTCAAGAATACCACAAGTTTGACAATATTTAAAATTTTTCTGTAAGTTTGAGATTTCCAAACAAGTTTTTCTTTAAGTTAACTTTCCAAATATACAGAATCTACCTGCATGTCACTATGAGATACAAATCCTGTCAGTGAGATTACAATCCCAGACAAACAACAACAATACTGATTGGAGGAAATGATGACTTGAAGAAACAAGAATTTAGTATGGACACACATTCATATACAAATAGGGGTATAATAAGTTTTAAATGTGAGAAGAGGGAGAGACACAAATATCTAGAAGGACCCAGAGCAATGTGACCGATTCTGACTTTAAGGAAGGTTTCATGGAGAGTATGGCATTTCTAGATCTGTTTGAATTACAGGAGAGAAAGGGCTGGTAGTAACTGAGTCCTGTGTGCAGAATACAGTGCCCCTCTCAGACCTAACTCTGCTAGAACAAATGAAATCCTGATACGCAAGTCACTCATGGGGCGAAAACAAGCTGGCCACACGGAAGAGAGTAACAAAGTGCATTTTCCTTGGATTCCCTAGTAATGTATATGAAAGAGAAACTGAGGAGCTTGGACAGGACTGCAAAGAAAAGCAGCAGCTAGGGGTGACCGGTTAGCTCAGTTGGTGACAGCATGGTGCCGATAACACCAAGGTTGCCAGTTCGATCCCCGCATGGGCCACTGTGAGCTACACCCTCCCTAAAAGAGTCAACTATGCCATTGTAGCATGAAAGCAATGTGTAACCAATGACCATGGCTGTTCTCCAATTAAAAAAAAAAACTTAAAAAAAAGAAGAGGCTAAATGTATGTCTCTTGACCATATATGATGGATTTTCCAGAAGGATACAACTAGAATATACTTTTAAGCTTGCAAATAATATATTAAAAAAACACATTTAATTTCATCCATCAGGTTTTTCATAGAGAAAAATTGCTGGACCCGAAAAAAAATGTTCTATTAGATCATGTTAAATATGGTCAACATAGGTACAGTAAGTCCCCGACTTACAAACATTCGAGTTGTGAACTTTCGCAGATACAAATGGATCTCACATTACGAACATTTGTAGATGCGAACAAATCACGGAAGTAGCTCATGTGTCTGCCGGACATTGTAATCACAGTTGTGCTGCTGTGTGCTCACTGTACAGTGCGATAGTGTATAGTAGTCCAGTGCTCAATCAGTGCCCAGGATGTCCGGAAGCAAGAACAAAAGCAGTGGTGATGTGGAGGGGACTGCTAGGAAGTGCAAAGACTCATTTTTTCGGACTTACGAACGAGTCAGACTTACAAACAAATCCGACTTACGAACGTTCTCTAGGAACGGAACTCATTCATAAGTCGGGGACTTACTGTATATGATATTTTAAAAAACTCAAGAAGGAAGTTGATATTATTTTCTTGGAAAGCTATCCCACAGTCTGAAAGCAATTTCTATCTAAAATAAATTTGAATGACAAACGTCACGGTAGGTAGCGACTTCATCCCTGTCATATATGTTAGCACTTAAGACATAAGTGCTCTTTCAAATGAAATAAGGAAGACACAGAAGTAGAAGGCTTGGCTTTTATAGTTGTTTTCTTCATTCAAGGTCAAGTTTCACTCACAGTTGCCTCCTTTTCATTTCTCTATGGGTGTAAATGGACATTTTGTGAGACTGTATTTCTGATGATCAAGGAGTAAGAACCTCTGGCATAATGAAAATAAATGCATGAAGGAATGTTTCAACTGACCTCTTGAAAATCCTGCTCAAACTTCCATAGTTGCAGATACTGGTCCATTTTTAGTTGGTGTTTTTCCCAAAATCCATCAAAAGCAACTTCCATATCATGTACCTGAGTCAGCAATCTCAAAAAAGAAAAGTAATAAAATTACTTAAAGAGAACGACTTGTGTTCTAGGTATGTAGATAAACCTGATCTGGACATTAAGAATTACAGGGGGCAGCCTTAGAGCGCAGGCTCATAACACCAAGGTTGCCAGTTCGATTCCCACATGGGCCACTGAGCTGTGCCCTCCACAACTAGATTGAAGACAACTACCTGACTTGGAGCTGATGGATCCTGGAAAAACACACACTGTTCCCCAATAAAATTTCTTAAAAAAAAATTATTATAGGCAAAGTCACAGCCCATAACACTTGGTGCAGGTAGAGAGCATCAGTGCCCCCAGAATCTCTTCTACAAGCAAACTAATCTCTGTGAGACAACTCTGGAAGGGGTTCTCAGATTTTCAGGGGTTCAAGAATTCTTTTTTTTTTAATTGGGGAATTGGGGGGATGGGAACAGCGCTGGGGAATTGGGGGAAGGGGAACAGACAAGTTGCTGTCCTTTTGTTCTTCAGTATAGTTATGGAAGACGTTGCTTCACTGGCCCAAGTTGGCACCATCATTGTGCTCTTCCCGGGCAAGGCAGATCGGTCGCCAGCTTCTGGACAGCCGCTGGCTACATATGGTAGCCCATGGCAACCCACTGCCACAGGGGCTGCAGCCTATGCCGCCACTGGCGCCAGCGATTCAGGGCAGCCCAACTCCAGGTTGAGCTGTTGTTCAGCATCTTAGCTGTGGAGGGCAGTGTTACTGGCCCTCATATGTGGGATCTGAACCGGGGCCCTCTGGCATCCCAAGCCAGTTCTTAAACGTCGCGCCACTCGGCCGGCCCTCCAAGAATTCTTTTATACCTAACAGATTGCAGCCAAAATGCATAATGCCCTTTCTAAAGTATAAAATAAGAAGCTCTAGGGTCGGCCGAGTGCTGCATTGGTTAAGAGGTGGCTTGGGACGCCAGAGGGCCCCGGTTCGGATCCCACATATGAGGGCTAGTGACTCTGCCCTCCATAGCTAAGATGCTGAACAACAGCTCATCCTGGAGCTGAGCTGCCGTGAGTACCCGGCGACGGCGTAGGCTGCAGCCCCTGTGGCAGTGGGTTGCCATGGGCTACCGTGTGTAGCCAGCAGCCAGCGTGAGCAGCCAGCAGCCACCGTGAATGGCCATCCAGAAGCCAGTGACTGATGTGCCTCGCCTGGGAAGAGCGCAATGATGGTGCCAACTTGGGCCAGTGAAGCAACGTCCTCCACAACTAGACTGAAGAACAAAACGACAGCAACTTGTCTGTTCCCCTTCCCCCAACTCCTCAGTGCTATTCCCCTCCCCCAATTCCCCAACAAAATCTTTAAGAAAAAAAAAAGAAGCTCTACACCAAAAAGAAAGCACTCACTTATTAACAGTTTGCCAGTCACCACTTATTTGCTGATGACGTTCAAATCTTGAACTGACAGCTCCTTCAGTGTCAGGCACTTCCAGACTTGTTAGCAGAATTTTTCCTTCTTTGGTTACAGCTGTAATATCATTCTGTACAGAGGTACAACAGGATATATCAACGTGATAGTAACCTAATCTAAATGACCTAAAGAGAAGGAAGGTATATAGCATGCGGGATATAAACAGTAGTTCTAGAATGGCCTTTGCTTTCCTAACTGAAAAAAGTCAAGGAATATCTCAGTACCACAGAATCTAAAAATCGCGAGAATCTCCAAGAAGCCTCTGCTGGAGATGCATGTTGCAATAATAATTTCTATAAGACCTTTACAGGCAGAAGTACCCCAGGCTCTGTATATAACCCCAGGATCTGTATATAGTCACCTTCTCTTACTGGTAGAAAGTTATAATTTATTCTATTCTATTCTGTTATTTTTAATGTACTTCAGTAAAGCAGTAGTAGCAAAATAAAGACTACTACACTAGAAAGCATACAGTTACACATAATATTTGATGCATGAATAGTTAGATGCCTTTCCTGCTAATCCTTAATTGTTACCCATCACTGTCTGCCATAGTATTATGTTACTTCACATTTGGATTAATCAATTCATCATAAAGCATTTGCTTCTATTCAGAAGGTCTTAATGTTGGATGGTGGATTTTTCAGGCATGTAAAAGTGATCTATGACTTCTTTCAGGAGACCCAAAAATTGGTGTGTGCATGTATTTTTCAGGGAACTGGATCCATGACCTCACCACCAATATGAATCAAAACATAAACATTAAGAACTAGTGCTAACCATGTGCCAAAAATGCTGTTCATTTCATCCTCAAAACAACCCATGTATCATCATTGTTGTCCCCACCACCATTATCGTCAACCTCATTGTACATATGAAAAATCTGAAACTCAGAGAGGGTAAGCAAATGACCCAATCACACAGCTTGTGAGAGACAGCGCTTTCTTTCCTTGAACAGTTTTGCTTTTAGATTATAATTCCAAATTTCACTGTCTCTCCTCTTCTTCATTTAAAAATGTCACTTCTAGAGGGCGGCCGGTTAGCTCAGTTGGTTAGAACACAGGGCTCATAACACTAAGGTTGCCAGTTCAATCCCCACATGGGCCACTGAGATGCGCCCTCCACAACTATACTCAAACAACTACTTGACTTGGAGCTGATGGGTCCTGCAAAAACACACTGTTCCCCGATAATAAATAAATAAATAAAAAATTTAAAATATTATAAAAGAAAAAAGTCACTTCTATATAGAGCTTATATCTGTCAGTGTCCCCATCAAGCCTATTATCCTATGAAGGGCATGAGTTATACAGGGGGGCTTAGTGCTTGCTCAGATCATTCTTAAACACTTTGGGGAAAGTGAATCTAAAAGTAGAATTGTTTAAACCGTGACTCAGAATCCTTCATAACTCAACACTCCAGTCAACTGGGTAGGAGAGCAAAATCTACTTGCCACCTATGAGAACTAGTACTCTGTAGAAAAGGAAGCTTGTAATCAATTTAGCAATGTTTGACTTGGTCACAATGCTAGTGTATGGCACAGCTGGGACAAGAAACCAGGCCTCCCGACTCCTCATCAAGTTCTCCTTCTCCATGTCACATCGTACCTGTGTGCTACTTGATTCTCACTTTCATGTTCCAAATGAGAGGGCCTTTCCACAAGCTACAGAATACATGGTAACAAAAATGACTGCAGATTTCTTATTCTGGTGCATTTACATTAACTCTTCTATTTACAAATAAGCAACTCAAGAGAATGTGCCATTTACAAAGGGGACACTTAGATTCAACATATCCAGGACATTCACCTCTTGTGCTCTTATTTTTTAATAACATGCTTTATAGTATATAAATGTATCTTTTGCCTCCCTATTCACCTATCATTGTGAAATGGACACATAGAACACCGCTCTAGAAAAAGAAAGACCATGGGAAACTTTTGCTGTCCACTCTATCAGACATACCTTTAACAGGCGATACCTTTCAGCACGAATTGCAAGAATTTCTTCTATTGAAGGAATATCATCTGGTAGTTCTGTCTCAGCCAGTTCAGTTCCAAAGGACTGTAACATCTGAGCCATTTCTTTCACCGTGAGGGCAAAATTTTCTATAGCCTGCAAAGAGCCAGTGATTCTTTTAATTTTATGGAAACTCCGCCAGCATATCAAAACTTGGATCAGTAATTGTATGTACTTTTAGTTAGGTATGACAGCAAACATATATACTATGAACTCTCCTCTACAAAGAAAAGTTGGCACTGCCCCTGGCAATAAACTCTCACTTTGCATTGAAGCCTCTAAGAAACTATAGGCAGGTGAAGAATGTTCTTGAATGTCTTTTATCTAAATTTCTGTACTTGTTTCTTGGACACCAATGAAAACTACCTCTTAAAGATGCCATGTACTGAGCAAGTTCTTTTATGATCTTGAAAATCACAGTGTTTTCCTTATTCTAGTAAACAGCAATTGTAAAATTGCTTTATAACTACTTCCAAAGAGATGAGAACATCAAAGCCACTTAATATTTGTTTACTATCATTTATGAACAAGTATTAGTATTCCCAGCAAGGTGATGGACTGAGGTGATGAGGGAACATCTAGTCACAGCAACTTATTTCAAGTTCTGTTTCCCTAAAATGTCTAATAAGGTCCTGCTGTTTATTTTCTTTCCAAAAGCAATTACTCAGAGAAAGAAGCACAATATAGAGACCATATAAACATTCTGTTTACCACATAGCTTAAGGTATCTGCTCTTTTATTTATAGCTTTATTAGTTATTTAAGGCTAGACACTGCTAATTTTGACAATACACCTTCATATGAATGAACAGGTCTGTTGAATGAAGAATAAGCACGAGAAAAATGGAACCCTGATTTAATTAAACATCACTGAATTACGTCCCATAACTCACATTTGGAGTGGAGATTCTTATACCACAAATACACCCCTGTGAGGCACGGGGCCCTTGCCTATTTGCAAATTTCTAGAACAGAAAGAATCTTTGCTACAAATCTAACTGCCTCAGGAGCCCCACTAGGATGATGAGGTTAACAATATTACTTGCATTTTTTGAGGGCCTGCGTGTGCCAGGCACCATGCCAAACATCTTACATTTATTGTCTCATTTAATCTTCCCCACATTCATATGAGGCAAAGTATTATGGTTCCCATTTTACAACTGGGAAAACTGAGACTCAGAGAGGTCATACAAGTTGTACACAGTGATGTAGCTAAAAATCAGCAGTGCTAGGATTTGACTCCCAACCCTTGGTTTCTTCAAGTCACTACATGGCCACGGGAGGGGGTGGACAGAGAAAGATCTCCTTATTCCCTAGGCCTCTCCTTCAATTGCCATCCTCAGTGACTCTTCTTCATTTCTAGATATTTCCTACGGAAGAAAATCAAGATGTTGAATTGTATATGGTTTTTAAAAACCTACGAGCCCCAGAAATCTGTTTTCCCCAAAGAGGAAAAGAATTCTAGATCTAAATTTAAAGGCTAACATGAACTACAGGCTCTACAGTTAAGGGCGAAAGAAACATACATTTCTGAAGATGATCCATTCACTGTGGCAGTAGTGCAAGGTGCCGCCTAACTCAGGGGTTAACTGCTTGTCATCAATGTATGTCAGCAAATCACTAACTGAGCTCAGCATAACAACCTATATAAATAAGCAAGAAAGATACTGTTAACTGCCCTTCGTGGCATCCCTCCTTTGCATTCATGTAGCACAATTATCTTTTATAAAGAAATGGTTCTCACAATTCTCTCCTGGACAACCCCCAGCCCCCAATCCACGTATGTACTACCTTCTCCAGGTAGCAACAGTTGTCATTCACAAAACACTTCTCTGTAAAGCAAAATTAATCTCCACAGAAACCCAAACACCTAATTCTCCTTGATCTAAAACTTTGCACTGTTAATGGTCGGCCTTCTGAAAGCATGTAATGCCTACTGTAAAGGGAAAGGGCTTTATGTATTGGGTCGTCGAGAAAGTCATGACATATTTTCCTATGTTTTTCAATGCAAAAATGCATCATGACTTTCCCGACGATCTAATAGTAAGTTATAATTTATCAGGAGAGACCGATCTTAGCAAAAGTATCAAAATTTATGAGCACTCTATTCCTAGCCCTAGAAACGTATAAAAATATCTTTAAAAAAACACATGGTATTCTGAACTAGCTCAGGATGTTAAGTTCATGGGAGTTCAAATACATAAAACACACAAACACACACTCATTATTTTCGAAAAAGAAAATGTCCATATTTTATACACACGTGCACACATACATATATACACACAAATATATAACATATGTGATATATATCTTTTTCAAAAATAACTGTTTTCTTACAAATTGAGTACTCTAGTCCTTTAACGGCAAAAGCAGAAGACTTTTAAGCATTTCAAATTTACATTCTTGGAAGACAAATTCTATTTGTCTCTTGTAAATGTTTTGTGAATACATATAAAACATTAATACAGCATCAAAGAAGGTCTTCATGAGAATTATAGGGAAAAAACATTTTAAAAATATACTCTTACTGGTAGTTTGAGCATGAAGTCTTCCTGACTAAATCGAAATCCGATGTCTGTGAAAGTTCGTTGAAGAAAACTGGTGGGACGCAGGACCAATACCAAGTGCAAGTTGCCAGGGAAGGAAGCCTACAGCAAGAAAGAACACAGGAAAGAAAGAAAAAATTGCCAAAACATGCATTCAACTGAGAACATATCAGAAAATATGTAATGAAAGAAAACAAATTTTAAAGTCATAAAAGCCACTAAAAGGGCAAACTTAAAAAATGGATATTGATAAAATCTAAAAACACGAAAATAATGTAAGGTCATCAGGTCAGATCTTTTCAATGCTCATGACATGGAATTTTCTCACACTAAATTAAGTCCAAAGTTACAAAGAATTATACTCTTAAGCTTCATTTCAAAGTTGGGTATTTGTACTCAAATTGTGTTTACTCCCTGTAAAACAGAATTAGGTGGCAGGTTCCTAGGATTGCCCTAAAAGCCATAGGGGGCTGAAATACTGTATAGTTGTAGTAAACAATGGAAGAAAACTATATAATGAACTCATATTTTTATTTTCTTTATTTTATTTTATTTTCCAGGTCCCATCAGCTCCAAGTCAAGTCATTGTTACAATCTAGTTGTGGAGGGCGCAGCTCAGTGGCCCATGTGGGGATCGAAATGGCAACCTTGGTATTATGAGCACTGCATGCTAACCAACTGAGTCAACCAGCCGCCCCATATTCTTATTTTTATCCAAGCAACATTCATTGAGTATTTCCTGTGTGTCCATACCATGTATTTAAATGAATGATTACCAAGAACTTTTAGCATTCAGTGTACACAAATTAATACAGTCCCTACCCAGCTTGCAAGAAAATAACAGTCTAATAGTGGAGTCCATTCATAATCATTAGCTCTATAGCATGATAAGTTGATAAGGGAAACGAGGGAATTAGAATAATACATAACAGGAAGTGGCAGCACAGAGCATTTTAGACCTAGTAATGTCAAGAAAGGTCTTGAAGCATAAGAGGGAATGAATTGGATCAGAATGTGTTCTCGTGCACCAATATTTCCCCAGTTTCTAGAACAGCGGCACATAGTAGGTGGTCAAGAAATAACTGCTAAATGAAAGAATGCGAAAAAACGAGGGCACTATGCAAATTTAGTGAGGGATAGACTAGTATAGCCCGATTTTAATAATAAACCACCACAGAGCAAATGCTTACTCTGTGCCAAGTATTCTGCCAATTTTATAGTTCCTCTTCACAATAATCCTTTGAAGTATTGGGCTGTCGGAAAAGTCATGATGCATTTTTGCAACAAAAAACATAGAAAAAATACGTCATGACTTTTCTGACAACCCAAAAGACTATCCTCTTTTACAAATAAAGAAAATGAAGCCCAAGAGTTTCAGTATAACTTGACCCAGCGGGTGAAGCCTCAATTTGCACCTGAGTCTGGGCTCTTCATCAGTGTATTACCCCTCTTCTCCAAGAGGTTCCAGTCAAGAAAGCTATAGAAAAATGACGCTGGGGTGTAGCAGTGGGAGATGGTGCTAGAGATGAGCAGGAACCAGTTCAGAAAAGATCTTGGGTTGGAGGCAAGGGGAGACTCTAAACGGTTTCAAGCAGTACACCAACAGTCAGATTTGCATTTTAGGAGGATCACTCTGGTTTGAGGACTGGATCTGGACAAGAGCGAGAGCAGACAGATGAGCTAGCAGGCTAGTATGGTAATCCAAGCCAGGGAGGAGGAATTCCTGAACTGTAGCAACAGCAGCAGGGATGAGGGTAGAATGTGACAAGACATGATGATTGAGTATATCTGATGAGAGAAGAAATACTAGGACAATCAATATCCAGATTTCTGGCTTCAGTAACTGGGTGAATGGTACAAGCCTCACGGACGTGGGGAACACAAGAGAAGCAGGTTTTAAGGAGGGGGTGAGGTACCGATTCCCATTCCTGGACACGTTGGTTCAGAAGAGTGGGCAGAACCTCCAGAGGATGTCCATCAGCAAATGTATGTACGGGAAGGAGGGGAAGAAGGCTAGACGGTGAATGCAGAGTGGGGAGTCAGATTAAAGTATAATAGATCAAAACATGTCAAAAAGTGTTTAACATACAATTTTTCAGGCATGTTGAAATATTAGTAATTGAACAAAACTATAAAACAAAAATTAAGGTATTGTGGGGCACACGTAATGGGAATGCTGTACTTTCTGCTCAATTTACTATGTACCTAAACCTTCTCTAAAGAAATAGTCTATCAGTGCTCACTTTGGCAGCACATATACTAAAATTGGACAGATACAGAGATTAGCATGGCCCCAGCACAAGGATGACATGCAAATTCGTGAAGCATTCCATATTTTTAGACAGATGCAATGTGATTTTGCTTATATGTGGAATCTAAAGAACAAAATAAACAAACAAACAAAACAAACAGACTCATAGATACAGAGAACATTTTGATGGTTACCAGATGGGAGGGAAATTGGGGAAGAATGAAAAAGGGAAAGGGATTAACAAGTACAAATTGGTTGTTACAAAGTATTCATGGGAGTGTAGGGTATAGCATAAGGAATATAGTTAATAATATTTTAATAACTATGTATGGTGTCAGATGGGTACTAGATTTATTGGGGTGATAGATGGGAAGGGAGTTGAGGACAGGGTGAAAAAGGTGAAGGGATTAAGAAATACAAACTGGTAGCTACAAAATAGTCATGGGAATATAAAGTAAAGTATAGGGAATATAGTCAGTGATATGGTGATAACTATGTATATAGTGCCAGGTGGGTACTAGACTAGTCAGGGATGTCACATCTTAAATTATATAAATGTCTAACCACTATGTCGTAAATCTGAAATTAATATAAAATAATATTGAATGTCAACTGTAATTGAAAAAAAAATTTTTTTTGAAAAATTTTAAAAGGAGAAAAAAGGTGAAGGAGAATAAGAGGTTCAAATTTCCAGGTATAAAACAAATAAGTCATGGGGATGTAATGCACAGCATAGGGAATATAGCCAATAATATTGTGATAACATGGTACGGTGTCAGATGGTTGCTGGACTTATCATGGTGATCACTTCTTTAGGTATATAAATGTTGAATAACTATGGTGTACCCCTGAAACTAATATAATATTTTATATTAGCTATATTTTAATAAAAATCTTTTCAAAAGTCTATTGAAAAAGAGTAACTTTCACTGAGGTGTAAGACCTAAATTCTTGGGGAAATGACAGTTAATATTGGGATTTTTAAAATTTAATGTGAAATGCTGATAAAAGAAACAATTAAGTGGCAATGAGAACTAGAGTGCAGGAAGAAGAACTGGGACACAAACAGGTAAAAGAGTACAAAATTAAATCAATAAACAATGATTATAAATAGACACGAACTGCGATGGCTGTGCAACTCGTTAAGTCCTCCAGGTTGCACGTCCATGCTACCGTCTCCCTTCATTACTTCTTCCCCTCTGCTACACACTGAATGCTTCTGTCCCCCCCCACTCAAATTCATATGTTGAAATCCTAACCCCCAATGTGATGGTGTTTGGAGGTGACGTCTTTGGGAGGTGATTAGGTCATGAGGGTGGAACTCTCATGAATGGGATTAGTGCCAGTATAAAAGGGACCCCAAAGAGATCCCTCATCCCTTCCGCCATGTGACGACACAGAGAAAAGATGACTTTCTATGAATCAGTAGCTACAAAACCGATTTTACTGGCACCTTGATCTTGAAATTTTAGCCTCTAGAACTGTGAGAAATAAATTTGTTTATAAGCCACCCAGTCTAATATATTGTTACAGCAGCCCAAACAAACTAAAAAAGCCTCTTATTGTTCTTAATATTGGTTCCTAATGACAACTGTTATCTTTCCACATGACCTTGCCCTTCCAACACACAATGATGAGTAATGGGATAAAAATTTGATGTAAGTAGAACCAAAGTCCTGCCCCAGGAGTTTTTCATACTAGTGCTGAGGGAAGGAAACTTTGAGGATGCAGTTCCAGAGCTACTGGTAGTCATGACCCCTGCTGCTGACAAACCTCATTTCAAAGTTCAAAGCCAACTTTTATAGAGAAATAGAAGCAGAGACAGAGAGTCCCACTGATGACACACAATTAGGTTCGCGAACTTGTTGCAATGATGTTAACTTTTGTTGATATCAGAGGGATTATTCATTATGAATTTGTGCCAACTGGACAAACAGTTAACCAAGTTTACTATTTGGAAGTGCTGAAAAGGCTGCATGAAAAAGTTAGACGACCTGAACTTTTCGCCAACAATTAACGGCTCTTGCATCATGACAAAGCACCAGCTCAAACGGCACTGTCTGTGAGGGAGTTTAGCCAATCAACAAATCACTGTATTGGAACACCCTCCCTACTCACCTGATCTGGCCCCCAATGACTTCTTTCTTTACCCAAAGAGAAAGGAAATGTTGAAAGGAAGACATTTTGATGACATTCGGGACATCAAGTGTAATACAATGACAGCTCTGATGGCCACTCCAGAAAAAGAGTTCCAAAATTGCTTTGAAGGGTGGACTAGGCGCTGGCATCAGTGCATAGCTTCCCAAGAGGAATACTTCGAAGGTGACCGTAGTGATATTTAGCAATGAGGTAGGTAGCATTTTTTCTAGGATGAGTTCCTGAACTTAATTGTCCGACCTCGTATCCTATCCTCTACTATGTACATAACGTCTATTGTATTTTATGCTGAGCATGGTACACACTTCCCCCAGTTATTCTAAAAATTAAAAAGAAATCATGAAGGGCCATCCGAGTGGCACGATGGTTAAGAACTGGCTTGGGACACCAGAGGGCCCCGGTTGGGATCCCACATATGAGGGCCAGTGACACTGCCCTCCACAGCTAAGATGCTGAACAACAGCTCAACCTGGAGCTGGGATGCCATGAATCACCAGCAACAGTGTAGGCTGCAGCCCCTGTGGCAGTGGGTTGCCATGGGCTACCGTGTGTAGCCAGCAGCCAGCATGAGCGGCCAGCAGCCGCCGTGAGCAGCCGTCCAAAAGCTGGTGACTGATGTGCCTCGCCCGGGAAGAGCGCAATGATGGTGCCAACTTGGACCAGTGAAGCAACGTCCTCCACAACTAGAGTGAAG